GGGGGTGCATGAGCCTTAAACGGCTTCAACCAAGAAACTGATTGAAGTCTACGTTTTTTGTCAGATGGTGTTTGCCCTTTAGCTCTTGCGCATTTAATATTCTTGGCATTAACCACAGAGCGTGGTGGTCCAGTGTACCCAAGTCCACTACACAAGGTTAGGAAATAGCCTTTGTGAGGTTTTGGCTTCCCTCCACCGAGGCTTCCTCTGTGCTCCTGATGCCGGGCTACTCTGATTATGGCTCTACCAGTGGGATGAAATAGCTTTCTCAAGACCACCGGGAAAAGCATGCATAAAACAGCTGGAATGGTGCAATCTTTAGTCGTCAAGCTCAAGCTCTTCCATCTCCTACCTTATTAACGAGGAAGGTGATGCACTTTTTATTTCTTTCTTTTTGATAGTAAAAAGAGCGATTTTCAGACCAAGAGCAACATAATGGGAAACTGCACGTCTGATTGAACTTGACCCAAGTAAAATCGACACCACTTTGTCAACAGATGTTACCCTTGAGAAAACTTTAAGATGTGTTTTACACTATGCCCGAATAATGGTGTTATTATCGAGAAAAAAAAAACCTTTATTATTATAATAATGGATATTTAGCAGTAAAACTCATAATAACAGTAATGGTGGTGCCTGCATACAGTCAACTATCTGTTATCTACGCTGTAATATTGGCAGGATCAATTCCCATTGATTTGTAATAAACTTTTTCTGCATTTGATACCCGAGCCTGAAACATCGTCCATTCTCTTCTACACCTCTCTCTCACCTGGAAGAAAAGATGAATATATCTTGTGAACAAATTACCTTAAGCAATCAATATCATCAACCCAGACTTCGGTGGTGATACTTCATTTAAGATGAACTAGTATGAAAAATTTTGGCACGAGTATATCTGTACAAAGTACAAAACCACATGGACATGATTGTGCCAGTGTGTGAGAGAGGGAGAGAGTCACAACAGCATTCATGCAAAAGAATGGGGAAAAAGGAAAACCACATTAAGGTAGCAATGATAAAACTGCTTACTCCTTGCCATGGTGCCTTCCCATCCTCTGCTTTCCCCTGCCAAAAGAGAAGAGGTTACTTGATATATAACGTTCTATATTATAGAGATATCCATACATACATATATACATACAGATATGTAGATATGTCCACAAATGTTGTAGAATGGTGGCCAATGCTTTTTTTACCTGGTTCCCAAGAGAAGGTACAGTTTGATGAACGATCCACTGAGAATCTACAACTCCAATTTTCTCATGAGCAGGCTATTACAAGGAAAAACCCACAAGTTATTAATTCCTACATACATACATAAGCAAGACTAAATAGCATCTGAGAATCAGAGATAGACAAAGTCAAAGAGGGAGGAAGAGCACAACTGACCTCAACACATTTCCGAAGGGCAAAGTCAAGACCCCATCCATGGACCAAATCATTCTACAATACAGAAATTAAGGCACCATAAGTTTTAGCATAATAGGATTAGAGGACAATCTGACGACTTAACATGTTAAAATGAACACAGTTATGCTAGTACTCCATACCTGAATCATATGCCACACACAGCGCCATGCATCTCGAGAGAACACAGGAGCCATGATCTCCACAAATCTGCAATCAGAAGTGAAGGCACAATTACAATTATTAGGACTCTATTAGGCATTAGCCATAGAGATTGAAAAAAACTCCATGCATCCATCGGCTTATCATTCCAGGGTAGATGGAAGAAGTGAAGTATATGCAGCAATAACATTGATTAAAACAATTCATACCCTGCACAGGGAGGCAAATGTGGGTCAGAGCACCAGCCTGGTTTTTCCTCTGTTTCTCTAACAAAAAAAGAAGAAGAAAGGTCAATTCACTAATTGACGATTACTGCATAAACAGAAAAAGGAATGGAGTGGGTATCTGGTGTAGCAGTCTTGTCATTCTTACTTGTGAACTTCACCATCACCTCTTTTCTTCGTCATTTGCCATGTGGCTCCCCTGCTAGGTTCCAAACCAGGCTGTGAAATCTCCAAGCCATGCTTCCTCACAAGCTTTATGTATCTGGAATTGGAAAAGACAGAACGGACACAAATGGTAAATTAACTCGTCTTAAACTGTCACAAACTTAATATATTTAATTTGAAACTCACTCTTCAGCATCAAAATGCTCTACCCCAAGGTCTTCATCCCAGATAAATACATAGTCATAAGGCACAACAATGTCGGGATGCAGAAATCTTTTGGCATACCACCTAGAACAACGTTCATGGATGTTAAGACAGGACCATGAGAAACAAAGACACCGTAATAAGCATATAAATTTCCAGTAATTGTACAAAATTGTTATGTTTGTCTTACCATTTTGTTTGCTTCCGAACACTCACATGAATAGCCCGTTTAGACCACTCAAACTCATCCCATTCAGTTGTTCGGCCATCGTAATGAAATAGAAGGATTGTAAAGTTATCTGAGAACTGTAAGAGAAGCAAACTTAAAGCATGAGCACAAACGCGAAGGGGTAGGGTTGGAGAGAGAGAGAGAGAGACCTTTTTGACAGCTGCATCAATATTATTTATCTGACCATAACCAACAGTAAAGGTCACAAGATACTTCTGTCTGATTGTCAAGTCCTGCAAGTTCCAACTTGATCACAACCCCAAATTTATATCAAATTCTGTTGCCCGCATAATTAAACATTAGGCATTATCATAAAGAGCAATTATTTAACTTAGTGGAAGTGAAAAGTTAAATTTTGCCTTCACATTCATAATATTTGATGTTTCTTTGGAACGACATTGAGTGTACTGGAAGGTTTCTATATCCTGACTGAAAAAATACTCAGTGCTATTATTCAACGGAAAACTACTTTGATTTCTATTTCTAGTTATCAAGTTATTGTTTCCAATACCCNATAACCAACAGTAAAGGTCACAAGATACTTCTGTCTGATTGTCAAGTCCTGCAAGTTCCAACTTGATCACAACCCCAAATTTATATCAAATTCTGTTGCCCGCATAATTAAACATTAGGCATTATCATAAAGAGCAATTATTTAACTTAGTGGAAGTGAAAAAGTAAATTTTGCCTTCACATTCATAATATTTGATGTTTCTTTGGAACGACATTGAGTGTACTGGAAGGTTTCTATATCCTGACTGAAAAAATACTCAGTGCTATTATTCAACGGAAAACTACTTTGATTTCTATTTCTAGTTATCAAGTTATTGTTTCCAATACCCAATCGTCTCAAATTTGACGAGGCAATAAAGGAGCTAAAGATGCTAGAATTTTCTAAAAACAAGAAGATATCCACCCCTGCCATTCTGTGTGCAATTATTACCCATTGATCAGAAACTCTGGCATAATTGCAACATTCTTGCTTGTCTCGAGTCAAAATATTGTGATGATTGCACTTTTGCATGTTAGATAAACTTTCAACAGCCAAGTAGAAGATTCAAACGTGGGAATCCTTATGAGAATTCACGCGTGTTTTCAATCATCGAATAAAAAATTTTAGAACCATCTGGTGTGTGAGATAATATAGGTTCTCAGAGGGCTCTTACCTCACTGGGCTTGCCCCACAATCTCCGGAGGTAGAAGTCAGACTCAGATGCAACAATGCCTGGGGGAAGTCTTTCTGCACCTCGGGGGTTTTCTGGTACCCAAATCTGCATCAGAAAAGGAAGCAGAAGTGCGAAATAGCATATAAAAGTTTATCTTTCAAAAGGGGATTCATAATAAAAGAAAAACAGTTTATACTTCCCCCAAAAGTACGATTCTACATTTGCAACCACAAGAAGTGTCTTTGAATACAGGAAGCCAGAAAATACGATTGCCAAAGGGATTCCCCTCGTAACAAAAATGAAAAGATACCACAGTTGGATTGAAAAGGGAAAAGAATGGTGTGGTTCAAGACATGCTGTTGGTAATGGCCACATAGTTTAGAAGAAAAACATAACATGACATCTTCCCTTATTAAAATTTCAAAATCATTGTAAAACCACAACTCAGGGTCTCCCAATCACTGCTAAGATCAATGAGATAAGTTATACCTTTGTTACATCCTTCAAGTTTTGAGTTTCAGATGAGCTGTTTTGGGTTGAGTTGACAGATTTTTGGTCACCTATCTGTGGGAAATCAATGTATGGAAGAAGCCCAGGTAGGAGATTCAGCTGCAAATTTAAATGACAATAGTTACATCATGGAAGATAATAACATCAACAAAATTCCAGGAGTACAGCCATAGCCATGCTGTGAATGGGAGGAGAATAAACAAAGAAATACAGAACAGTTTGTGTACCTTAACAAGCGCAAGGGTTGGAAATGACACTCCTATCAAGAAGCCAAAAACAACTCCAACAAAAGTTGTTATGATAATCTTCATAGTCTCGTTTGGTTTTCTAGAACTTCATTGAAAGTGAATAAAAAATTTAAAATCACATAAACACAGTTGTTACACATAAAACACTAAAAATGCAAAGGTCATTCCAACAGTTACGAACCTACGCCCAAAATTTCCCATTCTTTTCATAGTCTTCTGAACTTATATTTACAACAAAAATAAGCTCCAGGAGCTTCTTCGCATTGTTCAATATGCTGTGAGAAAAAAATAGATACTGATGACAGGAAGGCAGGGCCTGAATAACCAGAGCAGAATGTAAACATGAATGTTAGTACAAGCACACGATTCCTGACGCGATTAAATATCTTCATACAAGATAGACAAATAAAAAGCTGAGATAAAATTGCCAGCAAGTTCAAGAAAGGCTAACAAAAGCTGCAATGACATATCGAATATGCACATCTATTGGATGATAAAAGTAACTAAAATTGAGCCAAAAAAACCTTCGTATGACTCTTCAGGTCGCACTCACAAGTCACAACTCAAAGCTGCTACCCCAATGCAGTCATAATAAAAAAATTAGGAAATTGAAATAAAATAGACAGTACCAGTAACTCAGATGTATCTGCCAGAAGAAGAGATTATCACTCTTTACTCTTTGGATTCGCTCCCTCCAATAACATCCTAGTTCCACAAACCCCTAGCAAATTCATCCTAACCAAGATGTTATATATAGACCTTAAGATCAAATACAAATGAATCAACAATGAACAAAAACTTCCCAAATACACAAATTTCCCCAATTGACTTTTATAATTAAACACACCTAAGGATAGACCTTGATAATCACAAAGCACACATGTGCCTCCAACCTCAATACCCTCCACAAGCAACTCCACAATCAAGCAAGCAACCAACCATGTGCTCTCTTTGACAATTACAACTACAAGAACTAACAGAGATTACAAATTAAGCACAACCTTTTCAATTATTCAACTTTGTACCTCTCAGATCAAAAAAAAAAAAACTCTGTTCCTCCAAAATCAAGTCACCTTTTAACTTTTGTTAACCCACCACACATTCAACCAATTCGATGTACCGTATACACCGAAAATCCACAGTTTTCTATTCAATACAAAACACCTGTTCTTTCTTAACTCTTAAGTTCAAAGCCACAGTATATAACTTGAAACAACATCATCCACCTCACACATAAAGCCAGCTCAGAAAGTACCAATCCTTCGCAGAGTTTTGTTTCTTTTCTGCCGAGTTTCATTGATATTCATACCAATTAACCTTGACCATCGAACATACACATACACAAATAAATATATACGTACACAAACATACTTGAGTGAGAGAGAGAGAGAGAGAGAGCACCTGGGATTGAATGNACACAAATAAATATATACGTACACAAACATACTTGAGTGAGAGAGAGAGAGAGAGAGAGCACCTGGGATTGAATGAAATGTAACTGTGGAAGTGGCAAGGAAAACCCAGAGAGAGATTATAGCAAGGGAAAGCTGGGAATCACGAGAAAACTACTTTCCAAATGAACTGAAAATCCGAGCGAACAAACGTGGGTTGGGTTGGCTTGGCTTGGCTAGCTATAACCCTTCACAGATTTCTTGAATCTAGCTTTGTATAACTGGTGTGTTAATGCATTAACAAAGAATGAAACTGAAAGAGAGAGAGAAGGAATTTTCCTTGAAAAGAGGAATTCTACTTGATATTATACCCAAGTTTGGGGCGAAAATCAGTGTTTTTGAGATTGAAAAGAAATCTAAAGTCACACGGAATTATGAATTATTAAATAATAAATATTTAATGCAAATGCAACTCTGATAAGTCAAATTAAAATCAATAACCACCAGATTCAGTCATCGATACATAATATTAGTGGGTTACTCTATCAACCTGTAATTTTTTAATTTGATGGTAACACTACGTGACGACAATTTCATTGTTATATTAAATATTTTCTCAAAATTTGTGAAAGAGAATTAAAAATAGCTTGTTCCTTTGTAAAAATCAAATCTTTGTGCAGATTTTGAATTTTGATTTTTTCTAAAACAAGGGTGGTTCAAATCTTAAAAAAAAAAAGGAATATAATTAAGTGGGTATTAATAGAATTTTCATAAGTGCAAACTTTANGCAAATGCAACTCTGATAAGTCAAATTAAAATCAATAACCACCAGATTCAGTCATCAATACATAATATTAATGGGTTACTCTATCAACTTATAATTTTTTAATTTGATGGTAACACTACGTGACGATAATTTCATAATTTTATTGTTATATTAAATATTTTCTCAAAATTTGTGAAAGAGAATTAGAATAGCTTGTTCCTTTGTAAAAATCAAATCTTTGTGCAGATTTTGAATTTTGATTTTTTCTAAAACAAGGGTGGTTCAAATCTTTAAAAAAAAAGGAATATAATTAAGTGGGTATTAATAGAATTTTCATAAGTGCAAACTTTAGTACTAGATTCATATTGAAAGGAAACTATAATGACATGTTGCCTTTTTTTTTTTTGGTGGGATTGCATTATACTTATGTGCACGTCGGCCATTACTTGGGTGGATTATTATATTCATGTCCTTATGGTTTAAGAGTGATTAAGAGAAGTGAATATTCTTTTATGAATAGATTATTTATCACGACTTCAAATACGAATTATTATTTTGTAAGCGGGTCTCACATTAATATATTATGGATGATCTAAATTAAATAAAATTTTAAATAATATATATTAGAAATTATATTTATCTATTATAGAGTTTAAGTTAAAGTTATCTTTATCTTTATCATCATGGAATTCTCGTGTATAATTACATTTTCATTTACTGTTCGTATAAAAGTTAAGTTAAAATAAAAATTTGTCGTTGGNTTTTAAATAATATATATTAGAAATTATATTTATCTATTATAGAGTTTAAGTTAAAGTTATCTTTATCTTTATCATCATGGAATTCTCGTGTATAATAACATTTTCATTTATTATTCGTATAAAAGTTAAGTTAAAATAAAAATTTGTCGTTGGCAACACACAACTAGTTATATGGAAGAGAATTCACCGCACCTCGTCTCCTTATTTTGCCAATGTTTATTTGTATTGAATTTAAACTGACTTTTGATTTTTTATTTTTTTTTAACAATAATAGACTATATGGACAATGGGGTGAAGGGTAGGGGGTTGTGGGACTGGTGACCGGTAGTCTAGTAGGATGGGGGCAGGGAGATATAAGGATGGAGGTAAAGTGGAAGAGCCATAAATTTTGTTTGTAACAGACATCATCTCTAGTACATATTGCTATAAAAAATAAATAGGGTGCTTATTAAATTTTCATCTCAAATAATGTGGAACAATTTTTTACCATTAAATAAGTGGATCCCAATATTATTTAATGAGAGATTTTACCACATCATTTGGTATAAAAGATTTGGTAAATTTTTTTGATAAGCATAGAATTTTTCAAATAAATAAGAGAAATGTTATGCGTACTAAAATTTTTACTAAAAAGTATTTTTATCGAATAAGTTAGCAGATCCAAATTACTCTTGGACCCACCAAATGCTGATTAAAATATTTTTAATTGGATATGGAGTTACCAACTCATTTGCTAAAAATATTTTTTGGTAAAAATTTTAATAAGTATAACATTGCACAATAAATATATGTAGTTTTATGTGTGAGTCATTCTTGCAAGTCTAGCATCATTTCATTGTTGCTTAGCCACAAATAAAAAAAAATGAAAGAAAATAAAATTAATAAAAAAAATTGCGACTTGAACACAGTTCAAATTACAGAATCAATTTACTCGCGCGCAAGGTTAAAAATGTGTACATCTATGCCTCTTATAACCCCATAGTGACAAGTGTCTCGTATATTTAGATAATTGTTTTTTATAGGGTAATATTTTTTTAGTTCAATGGTGTGGAGTGTTCGAGCTAACTTATACATACCTCAACTAATCTATTTCCCGATCTGTTCAAAGACAGATCATTTATACCAGAACTACAGTATTCATGAGAGATCATGGTTTGACCTCAAAGAATTGTGGTTATAACTATTAGATTAATTGTGAATTCCATCAAAAATTAAAATTTATTATTAATCTAATAATTACAATAAAATCACGTCATTAAATCAACGAATTAGATTAAATTTTTAGATTTAAATAGTATAAGGGCAAGTTTTTATATGACAGGTAAATTCGGGTCCAGGGGATTTAAGTGGGTGGTCCAAAATCTCGGGTNTTAGATTTAAATAGTATAAGGGCAAGTTTTTATATGACAGGTAAATTCGGGTCCAGGGGATTTAAGTGGGTGGTCCAAAATCTCGGGTAATGGCCTAACGCTATAAGCTAGGAAATTGGGTGGGGGGAGGGGGACTAAAATGAATTCCAGAAAGTGGACTTTGACCCAACTTCACACAATGGTTTCTGAGTCAGTCAATCACGGGCGGCTCTAAAACGACATTTGTAAATAAATTTTTTTTCAATTATCTGTATCGTTAATTTTATCATTCTTTCTTTCTTGTAATATGATTGATTTTAATTNAAAGTGGACTTTGACCCAACTTCACACAATGGTTTCTGAGTCAGTCAATCACGGGCGGCTCTAAAACGACATTTGTAAATAAATTTTTTTTCAATTATCTGTATCGTTAATTTTATCATTCTTTCTTTCTTGTAATATGATTGATTTTAATTTTTAAGTAAGTGTTTATTAATTTAAAATTTTTTATTAATAATATATATATATATATATTTTTTTTATATTTTGCATCTAGGATAGTTCTTTTGTATATTTAACTCTCATCGTGAATATTTTTTTATTATTATTTTGTTATATTATTTTATTATTTTTTATTATTTGGGATTTATTAATTATTTATTTGCAAAACTTTAATTCATTTTTCTACGACGTTTTGTTTGGTAGTAGGAATAAAGAGATCATTTTAAAATTCAATTATTTAAAAAAATTCTCATTATTAAGAAAGATTTTTCATAACCAGATAATTATTTTCTAGTTATCATATTTATAATATATAATCAAAAAATTAGTCTTAAATAACCCTAAGGTATTTATAATTACAGAATATAACATGAGCCTAAAATTACAAAAAATATAAAAAACAATATAGTTTGATTTATCATGGTTATTTGAAACATTAAAATTTGATATTTTAGTTCTTTCTTGATCAAAGTTTGTAAAATTAAGTGAGTTATATTATGTGAGTTTAATTTGGTGTATGATTTAAAATGAAAAGTTAAAAGTGTGTGTGTGTGTGAGAGAGAGATAGAGAGAAAGAGAGTTTTGTCTGTGTTTAATTGGAGATGGAAGAGAATGTGTGTTTGTGTGAGAGAGAGAGAGAGAAGAGTTTCGCTTTTACTATTCTTGTTTTCATCCACTGAGTTTTGATCGTTGCAACAAAATGTGTGGGTTATACTTTTAGACCAAACTATTGAATTTAAAATTTAGTTGTTAGATGTACACTTTTTAAAATTTTTTGTGGAGTTTATATTGTCATGTATTTAAAAGTTTCGACTGAATTATACTATACATTAAAAAATATAGGGCTTTTTTTGTAGTTAGGGCCTAAAACATCCGTTTTTTCAGTCACACTATTGGGTCAGCCAATCAACTACAATTAAGCCTGTCAATCATATCGGATGAATGATTTTTTGTGTCACGAAAATAAAGGAAAAATAAAGTGGAGCATGCTTGTAGAGGAAGTGTTTCATAGCATATTTCCTTGGATCAAGCAACTGCAAAGACTGGTTCATTTTTTTATAGTTGAGCTACCATTTGAGAGGGTCAAGGGAGAGATAGTATAATTCACTTCCAACACAATCAATTTGAGAAGAGATTCTAAGTTGGGTTCTAACCTTGAAGAAATCAGGACCCTTTGACGTGGTCAAATTGCTTTGGCCACCCATCTAGCCGTCTACGTCGATCTATACAATTTAGTTTCCAAGCAAACTTGATAGGGTGGCACATCATAGATCAAAATCCCCTCTAATACAATTCTCTATTTTTTTTTCTTGACAAATCACTTATCATATATTATTAAAACCCGCCCATGTGTGAGCTATCAACGGGATCCAAATGAATGAAAACTTAGTTTTCAAGTTCTAATTTTATCAAAATGCACTTTTATTCAACCATGTCTTTGATTCGTTAGGTATGGTTGACCTAGAATTTGCAATGTTTCTAACTTATTGAAACTTCAGGCAACGAGACTTGTATGATGCATCTAGGCATTGGGTCAGCAGGCTCGGACCCACCTAAGAATGAATTGGGGACCATCAATATTTTTCATTAAAATCATGTCGTATCTAATATACAAAGTTCTCACGTATTACAAAACTCTCTAACTATAACAAAATATGAAAAAAATCAATTTTTATTTACATGCATTCCCATTTCTTCTTGGGTTCAAGCCAATTGGAATTATGAGTTCAATCAAATTTTGGCATGCCCAACTATTCAAAATAAGCCAAGCAGGTGCATGAACAAAAGCAATAGAACGATAGCCAAATTCAAGCAACATGTGACTCAGTTTGAATAGTTGTCCATCAATGAATTTGTCTAGTTTTATTACCAAACACTTCTATTTGAGATTTAATTACATTCCAAACTTATCTCCTAAGTAACTTTAGATCATATGAGTTTCTCCCATATTTCTATGAAAAAATAAACTTTTAGAGTTTGAATTTATGACTATGTAGTTTTTTGGAAGATTTTTGTTGAAAAATTATTGTCATTGAACTAATTTATAAGATATAGGGTTTAAATTTAGAAATTCTAAGTTCCAGTTTTAATAATTTTTTAAACTCACGTTATGAGAAATTTATTTCAATTAAATATCCTAGTGTTAACGTGGATGACTTGTCTTTGATCAGGTCAAAAAAAAATTAATCAACATATACATAAACTGATCCGAACTCCCTAACTGCGAATAAAAAAAATAAGTTTGAAATTCGGGAGTCACCGAGCATGCGCATTAACACACCTGACGAGCCATTCTAAAAGCAATTTGCGGACCCACCCAATTCAGTGGATCTTCGAATCCTGCAATTTCATTCTATCTATTATAATAAATAGGAATAAATAAAGTCGGATGGCAAGAAGTGAATCCGTGGATAAGGCGCTGGTCTGCGGAACCAGAGATTCTGGGTTTGATCCCCAGCAGAATCGTTTTTATCATTTGTTTGTATTTTTGCCACTCCCCCTCCCCCTTTCCCACTTTCAGTTTGTTTTCGGCCCGAAAAAACCTGAATGTCTTAGGTAAATTCTGTGCTAATTGTAAAATCCGAAGCTACGATGAAGTATACTAGCTTCCGAACTACACGATGGTAGTATGGTGGACGGCAATATCACAGCACCACACAATAAGAGCAAGCCATTAGGTATGCCTTGTCACACGATCAGATTAATGCAAGATCAAGTCAAAAGAAAAAAAAAACTAGTTTTACGAAAAATCACAGGATCCTTGCAAAGCTAATCATTTATTAAAAAAAAGTAAAAATTCCATAATAAAAAGTCAGAACATGGTACTAAATCCAATGGCCAGGTTGTTACTTTCTTCACACACACACACACTCACACACACATATATATATATATGCAAGTCTAGACTTTTGAGCTAATAATGATCGCTGTTACAGAGGCTTCTGACATGCTTCTTTGATCGGAATCTGAGGATCAGTGAATGAGCCATCAAGAATGTGGTTGGCTACCCATATATTAGNTTCTGACATGCTTCTTTGATCGGAATCTGAGGATCAGTGAATGAGCCATCAAGAATGTGGTTGGCTACCCATATATTAGCAGCTTCGGTATAATGTACGCCATCCCAGCTGATGTATTCAGATGGATTACAGCAAGCAGCCCCATAAACTTCAGTTCCGTTCACTATTGCTGTGTCCCCACATTCAACATAATAATCCTCAATGTGTCCGCAGCAATACCCAAGAGGACTAGCAAATCCTGCAATCCTTATATACCAGAAGAATGAGAGAGAGAGAGAAACACACACACACACACAGGGACAGAGAGACAGAAAGAGAGAGAGAGACCAAGCAGCAAAAACTTGAATAACTTGGAATTACCATTGTTGATGGTTACCAATGAATTTTTTTTATCTCGGCAGGTATCAAGAATTAAAAATCATGCCAAAACATATATGCATACCTATCATATATTCTTTTTAATTCAAAGCCAATTCTTTCAGGGGGTCGTAGGATCTCTACTAACAGTTCAAGTAGAATAAATTATAAAATCCCGCCCTTTGAGATCCTATAATCTGAGATTAAAACTATTCTTATCGAAAGTAGAAGTGAGAACGACATGTATAGGATAGCCCTTCCATATATGATGATTAATCACTCTTACCATGCTCCTTTGCATGGCTGATCAGGTAGTATTTAACTGAATAGATGTCGGCAAATGTAAGTTGTGCATCTTTAAGTTGGGTTCGTAATTTGTACACCCTTTCCTTAAGCTGCTTGTTGAACTCTTGAGCCACCTCATTGTAGGACTTCACACAACCATTTTGATCTCTATTGCCAGGCTTTGGCGGATAAGTTAGCGCCAGATAAGGCAGGCAGCCAATTGGACCTGTATTATGTATCCAGAATGCTCTTGCTCCTAGTTTGTAGAGTTTCTGAAATTGTTATGAAAAAGAAAAGAAAAAAGAAAATAAGCAACAATCCATAAAACTAATTGTTAGTGGAAGAAAAATAAGAGAAATATAAATACATATGATGCACTGGCAAGTTATTGTCTGAAAGTGTGTCCATAGCAAAATACAAATAATAAAATATTCTACAAGATACATGCGCACAAGAACTTGATATTTCATGCTGTTTGGCAGAACTGGATTTGCAAAATTCATGGACTGCATTATGCATGAAATAATCTGGTGAAACCCACTAGTATCTCTCTCCACCCAAATCCCAATTCCATTCTTTTCTAGAACCCCATTGCTTCCTGCAAGCACCTTCACTTTCATGGTCACAACCCTTCAGGATTGGAGCTGGGTTTTGTGTTTAATGGGGCCAAGCTAAAATCTACTTTTATTTCTAAATCGCCTACCATTCATGAATCAAAGCTCCATTGACAGGTTCAATTTTTCCCTCTCCCTCTATCTCACAGGTTTAGTATCAAATCAATAGAGAGCCTTTCCTTCGGTATGAATTGATATTATTTCAACCCTATTGCTTCCCAAGGAAAATTTCGAACAGGATGACTGGTTAGTGTGATGAGCTTATCAATGGAGCCATGCACTACATCTACTTTCCACTAATTGTCATCACATAACCATTATTCTTGGTAAAACTGACAGTAAATTTAAAATTAGTTGAAAAAGTACAACCGGTTTTATTTTGATTTTCAAACACTGCATTACTGTACCATGGATGCTGAGGCCAAATGCGTGAGTTGGAACTTAAGTGTGGCTTTCTTTGGCAGACATTCATTATTAGTATGTTCTGGAGATATTTGGAAAAATGTGAGCAGATGATTTAGTTGTTATTTTTCACTACCCGAAACAATAATGTTACCCCAATTGAATTCTTCCAAAGATGAAAGAACCAACCAGAAAACAAGTATTTATGCAATAAAAGTCTCTTTATTCCAAATACCACAAGCAATTAGACTGAAAAAACATTACCACCAAGAAATAAGCAAAAGAATAGTTGATAAAAGTGAAGTTATCTTTCCCTGTCCCCCTCAAAGATTCATTGCGTCACTGGCTACTGCTGTTTATATTTCAATGGTAGGTTTTATATGGCATGGAAAAATTAATTTAAAATAAACCTCAATGTCAGAATAATATTTTAGCAATGGATCATGGAAAGATTGACCTGACACTTTGACATCGNAAAAAATTGCGACTTGAACACAGTTCAAATTACAGAATCAATTTACTCGCGCGCAGGGTTAAAAATGTGTACATCTATGCCTCTTATAACCCCATAGTGATGAGTGTCTCGTATATTTAGATAACTGTTTTTTATAGGGCAATATTTTTTTTAGTTCAATGGTGTGGAGTGTTCGAGCTAAATTATACATACCTCAACTAATCTCTTTCTCGATCTGCTCAAAGACAGATCATTTATACCAGAACTAGAGTATTCATGAGAGATCATGGTTTGGCCTCAAAGAGTTGTGGTTATAACTATTATATTGATTGTGAATTCCATCAAAAATTAAAATTTATTATTAATCTAATAATTACAATAAAATCACGTCATTAAATCAACGAATTAGATTTAAATAGTATAAGGGCAAGTTTTTATATGACAGGTAAATTCGGGTCCAGGGGATTTAAGTGGGTGGTCCAAAATCTCGGGTAATGGCCTAACGCTATAAGCTAGGAAATTGGGTGGGGGGAGGGGGACTAAAATGAATTCCAGAAAGTGGACTTTGACCCAACTTCACACAATGGTTTCTGAGTCAGTCAATCACGGGCGGCTCTAAAACGACATTTGTAAATAAATTTTTTTTCAATTATCTGTATCGTTAATTTTATCATTCTTTCTTTCTTGTAATATGATTGATTTTAATTTTTAAGTAAGTGTTTATTAATTTAAAATTTTTTATTAATAATATATATATATATATATTTTTTTTATATTTTGCATCTAGGATAGTTCTTTTGTATATTTAACTCTCATCGTGAATATTTTTTTATTATTATTTTGTTATATTATTTTATTATTTTTTATTATTTGGGATTTATTAATTATTTATTTGCAAAACTTTAATTCATTTTTCTACGACGTTTTGTTTGGTAGTAGGAATAAAGAGATCATTTTAAAATTCAATTATTTAAAAAAATTCTCATTATTAAGAAAGATTTTTCATAACCAGATAATTATTTTCTAGTTATCATATTTATAATATATAATCAAAAAATTAGTCTTAAATAACCCTAAGGTATTTATAATTACAGAATATAACATAAGCCTAAAATTACAAAAAATATAAAAAACAATATAGTTTGATTTATCATGGTTTTTTGAAACATTAAAATTTGATATTTTAGTTCTTTCTTGATCAAAGTTTGTAAAATTAAGTGAGTTATATTATGTGAGTTTAATTTGGTGTATGATTTAAAATGAAAAGTTAAGTGTGTGTGTGTGTGAGAGAGAGAGATAGAGAGAAAGAGAGTTTTGTCTGTGTTTAATTGGAGATGGAAGAGAATGTGTGTTTGTGTGAGAGAGAGAGAGAGAAGAGTTTTGCTTTTACTATTCTTGTTTTCATCCACTGAGTTTTGATCGTTGCAACAAAATGTGTGGGTTATACTTTTAGACCAAACTATTGAATTTGAAATTTAGTTGTTAGATGTATACTTTTTAAAATTTTTTGTGGAGTTTATATTGTCATGTATTTAAAAGTTTGGACTGAATTATACTATACATTAAAAAATATAGGGCTTTTTTTGTAGTTAGGGCCTAAAACCTCCGTTTTTTCAGTCACACTATTGGGTCGGCCAATCAACTACAATTAAGCCTGTCAATCATATCGGATGAATGATTTTTTGGGTCACGAAAATAAAGGAAAAATAAAGTGGAGCATGCTTGTAGAGGAAGTGTTTCATAGCATATTTCCTTGGATCAAGCAACTGCAAAGACTGGTTCATTTTTTTATAGTTGAGCTACCATTTGAGAGGGTCAAGGGAGAGATAGTATAATTCACTTCCAACACAATCAATTTGAGAAGAGATTCTAAGTTGGGTTCTAACCTTGAAGAAATCAGGACCCTTTGACGTGGTCAAATTGCTTTGGCCACCCATCTAGCCGTCTACGTCGATCTATACAATTTAGTTTCCAAGCAAACTTGATAGGGTGGCACATCATAGATCAAAATCCCCTCTAATACAATTCTCTATTTTTTTTTCTTGACAAATCACTTATCATATATTATTAAAACCCGCCCATGTGTGAGCTATCAACGGGATCCAAATGAATGAAAACTTAGTTTTCAAGTTCTAATTTTATCAAAATGCACTTTTATTCAACCATGTCTTTGATTCGTTAGGTATGGTTGACCTAGAATTTGCAATGTTTCTAACTTATTGAAACTTCAGGCAACGAGACTTGTATGATGCATCTAGGCATTGGGTCAGCAGGCTCGGACCCACCTAAGAATGAATTGGGGACCATCAATATTTTTCATTAAAATCATGTCGTATCTAATATACAAAGTTCTCACGTATTACAAAACTCTCTAACTATAACAAAATATGAAAAAAATCAATTTTTATTTACATGCATTCCCTTTTCTTCTTGGGTTCAAGCCAATTGGAATTATGAGTTCAATCAAATTTTGGCATGCCCAACTATTCAAAATAAGCCAAGCAGGTGCATGAACAAAAGCAATAGAACGATAGCCAAATTCAAGCAACATGTGACTCAGTTTGAATAGTTGTCCATCAATGAATTTGTCTAGTTTTATTACCAAACACTTCTATTTGAGATTTAATTACATTCCAAACTTATCTCCTAAGTAACTTTAGATCATATGAGTTTCTCCCATATTTCTATGAAAAAATAAACTTTTAGAGTTTGAATTTATGACTGTGTAGTTTTTTGGGAGATTTTTGTTGAAAAATTATTGTCATTGAACTAATTTATAAGATATAGGGTTTAAATTTAAAAATTCTAAGTTCGAGTTTTAACAATTTTTTAAACTCACGTTATGAAAAATTTATTTCAATTAAATACCCTAGTGTTAACGTGGATAACTTGTCTTTGATCAGATCAAAAAAAATTTAATCAAAATATACATAAACTGATCCGAACTCCCTAACTGCGAATAAAAAAAATAAGTTTGAAATTCGGGAGTCACAATTGTGCCGAGCATGCGCATTAACACACCTGACGAGCCATTCTAAAAGCAATTTGCGGACCCGCCCAATTCAGTGGAACTTCGAATCCTGCAATTTCATTCTATCTATTATAATAAATAGGAATAAATAAAGTCGGATGGCAAGAAGTGAATCCGTGGATAAGGCGCTGGTCTGCGGAACCAGAGATTCTGGGTCCGATCCCCAGCAGAATCGTTTTTATCATTTGTTTGTATTTTTGCCACACCCCTTTCCCACTTTCAGTTTGTTTTCGGCCCGAAAAAACCTGAATGTCTTAGGTAAATTCTGTGCTAATTGTAAAATCCGAAGCTACGATGAAGTATACTAGCTTCCGAACTACACGATGGTAGTATGGTGGACGGCAATATCACAGCACCACACAATAAGAGCAAGCCATTAGGTATGCCTTGTCACACGATCAGATTAATGCAAGATCAAGTCAAAAGAAAAAAAAAACTCGTTTTACGAAAAATCACAGGATCCTTGCAAAGCTAATCATTTATTAAAAAAAGTAAAAATTCCATAATAAAAAGTCAGAACATGGTACTAAATCCAATGGCCAGGTTGTTACTTTCTTCACACACACACACACTCACACACACACACATATATATATGCAAGTCTAGACTTTTGAGCTAATAATGATCGCTGTTACAGAGGCTTCTGACATGCTTCTTTGATCGGAATCTGAGGATCAGTGAATGAGCCATCAAGAATGTGGTTGGCTACCCATATATTAGCAGCTTCGGTATAATGTACGCCATCCCAGCTGATGTATTCAGATGGATTACAGCAAGCAGCCCCATAAACTTCAGTTCCGTTCACTATTGCTGTGTCCCCACATTCAACATAATAATCCTCAATGTGTCCGCAGCAATACCCAAGAGGACTAGCAAATCCTGCAATCCTTATATACCAGAAGAATGAGAGAGAGAGAGAAACACACACACACACACAGGGACAGAGAGACAGAAAGAGAGAGAGAGACCAAGCAGCAAAAACTTGAATAACTTGGAATTACCATTGTTGATGGTTACCAATGAATTTTTTTATCTCGGCAGGTATCAAGAATTAAAAATCATGCCAAAACATATATGCATACCTATCATATATTCTTTTTAATTCAAAGCCAATTCTTTCAGGGGGTCGTAGGATCTCTACTAACAGTTCAAGTAGAATAAATTATAAAATCCCGCCCTTTGAGATCCTATAATCTGAGATTAAAACTATTCTTATCGAAAGTAGAAGTGAGAACGACATGTATAGGATAGCCCTTCCATATATGATGATTAATCACTCTTACCATGCTCCTTTGCATGGCTGATCAGGTAGTATTTAACTGAATAGATGTCGGCAAATGTAAGTTGTGCATCTTTAAGTTGGGTTCGTAATTTGTACACCCTTTCCTTAAGCTGCTTGTTGAACTCTTGAGCCACCTCATTGTAGGACTTCACACAACCATTTTGATCTCTATTGCCAGGCTTTGGCGAATAAGTTAGCGCCAGATAAGGCAGGCAGCCAATTGGACCTGTATTATGTATCCAGAATGCTCTTGCTCCTAGTTTGTAGAGTTTCTGAAATTGTTATGAAAAAGAAAAGAAAAAAGAAAATAAGCAACAATCCATAAAACTAATTGTTAGTGGAAGAAAAATAAGAGAAATATAAATACATATGATGCACTGGCAAGTTATTGTCTGAAAGTGTGTCCATAGCAAAATACAAATAATAAAATATTCTACAAGATACATGCGCACAAGAACTTGATATTTCATGCTGTTTGGCAGAACTGGATTTGCAAAATTCATGGACTGCATTATGCATGAAATAATCTGGTGAAACCCACTAGTATCTCTCTCCACCCAAATCCCAATTCCATTCTTTTCTAGAACCCCATTGCTTCCTGCAAGCACCTTCACTTTCATGGTCACAACCCTTCAGGATTGGAGCTGGGTTTTGTGTTTAATGGGGCCAAGCTAAAATCTACTTTTATTTCTAAATCGCCTACCATTCATGAATCAAAGCTCCATTGACAGGTTCAATTTTTCCCTCTCCCTCTATCTCACAGGTTTAGTATCAAATCAATAGAGAGCCTTTCCTTCGGTATGAATTGATATTATTTCAACCCTATTGCTTCCCAAGGAAAATTTCGAACAGGATGACTGGTTAGTGTGATGAGCTTATCAATGGAGCCATGCACTACATCTACTTTCCACTAATTGTCATCACATAACCATTATTCTTGGTAAAACTGACAGTAAATTTAAAATTAGTTGAAAAAGTACAACCGGTTTTATTTTGATTTTCAAACACTGCATTACTGTACCATGGATGCTGAGGCCAAATGCGTGAGTTGGAACTTAAGTGTGGCTTTCTTTGGCAGACATTCATTATTAGTATGTTCTGGAGATATTTGGAAAAATGTGAGCAGATGATTTAGTTGTTATTTTTCACTACCCGAAACAATAATGTTACCCCAATTGAATTCTTCCAAAGATGAAAGAACCAACCAGAAAACAAGTATTTATGCAATAAAAGTCTCTTTATTCCAAATACCACAAGCAATTAGACTGAAAAAACATTACCACCAAGAAATAAGCAAAAGAATAGTTGATAAAAGTGAAGTTATCTTTCCCTGTCCCCCTCAAAGATTCATTGCGTCACTGGCTACTGCTGTTTATATTTCAATGGTAGGTTTTATATGGCATGGAAAAATTAATTTAAAATAAACCTCAATGTCAGAATAATATTTTAGCAATGGATCATGGAAAGATTGACCTGACACTTTGACATCGTGATAGAATATCAGGTTAACTCCTTTAAATGCATCGAATTGGCCGAATCCAATTTCTATTTCCATGAAAGAGGCTACTGTTTTGACGGAGCTAAGGGTGTAAGAGATCCTTTACATACCTCTACATCCAAAGAAAACTGGTTGATTATATCAGGAATAGATANTTCCATGAAAGAGGCTACTGTTTTGACGGAGCTAAGGGTGTAAGAGATCCTTTACATACCTCTACATCCAAAGAAAACTGGTTGATTATATCAGGAATAGATAGCAGTACTTGCTCCTCTGTTACTGATATTAGCCCAGCATGAAGATCATTCTGTCCGCTATCTATTGTGTAGAGGGCCTTTGGAAAATCCTCGGGTCTAGGGAGGCGCCCGGTTTTTGATTTATGAGTTCTTAACTGAATACCAGAAACCACCAAATTGTGTCACAAGAAATTCAACACTCAAGTATTTATCCTCCAAATCAACAATGTGTAAAACTCTACACAACTTTGAGTTACTTATTTCCAACCTCAATGGAGCGTGCTTTGAATTGCTCAAACTGCAAAACCTGTATGTCAAGAGAGAGCGGGTTAAAACCTGCCCCGCATAGATTAGCATTGGTCTGCTGAATGGTAGACCCGCTTGCAGCAAAATTTGCTCCATGTTGGTAATTTGTTCCAATAGAATCCAGATATGCACTCAAATAGGGCAATCCCAATTCTTCAGNAGAATCCAGATATGCACTCAAATAGGGCAATCCCAATTCTTCAGCTACAGAAATTTTGGTGAAAACAAAATCAATGCACACGCGACCGCCAGAGGGGGAGGGGGGGGGATTCTATAGCTTCTAAGGTTTGGGTCAGAATTAGTGAAGCAGTAACTGGCTGCTCTTGGAATTCCAGAAAATGTTTTGTCCAAGGCTGCGGGTCATCCTACGGTGAACTTGAGCAGAGGATACAGTTATTTTGCAATTGCAACAGAAAAAGACACCCTGCTCAATTGCAATCAAATGAGCTGGGATGTGGTCATTGCATTTAGAAATACTGAACTAAACTTGGTTCTCATGGCATAGAATTTTCAAATCCTTTCACATATATTTCTTCGGCAGCAATTACCACTTCCAACTCAATTTGATTTTCTATTTAAGAGTCCCAAGAAAAACACCAAAACAAGAAGAAAATTTCCAGCACTAAAGGGCAGGACTTGACCATGAAACCCATTGCACAAGCAAAGGAGTTTTTAACAACAATACAAATATCAACTTCATAAATCAAATTACCAAAGGTATTACATATTTTAGAGGAGCACTATTAATGATCATTTTTCCAAAATGAGCAAATAGTAAACCTAATATATCTTGTTGTGGCAATAAAGCCAGTAATAACACAATCTGGAGAAAAATAAAAGGTCAAAAAGAAAATGCACATCATTTACCTATAAAATCAATTATTAGACGCCCATCAGAATATCGGCCAGAAGGTTTACCAAAGAAGGTCTCGCCAAAAGGAGAACGAAGCCAATTAAAAGCCGCCGATACACAGCCTGTATCAGAATTTGAATCACCAAAGTTGTAAATTGCTGGAAATTGACATCCATCTGACTTTTCAAATCTCAACCCCATTCGTGGTTTCTTAGACATGAAGATTGAATAGGTAGCAACTAAAACAACTGCCACTGCAACTGCTTCCATACTTCTTCTTCTTAGCTTCCAACTCCCACAGACACTACTGGGTCTCACCCAATCCATATGGATCTCACCTTATACTAGCTCTGTCAGACCTTTTATCGAACAGAAGGTATTAATTAGCAGAACACAGATAATCAATGGAATTGCATAAATACAGTTGATGAGTCCAACTCCAACCATCAACTGCTTGATGATACAATGAAATGAAGAAGACTTGAACACTTTTAGGTACTACGTTGGAGAACAGAGACTGATCCGTGAATCAGCAGTTGACTTCCATAGATTCTTCTCAGATGCCAAAGTATTTAAACGTTTGAGCAAAAATAGACGGCAATGGATTCCAGGGTATAAACAAGGTTGAGAAGTCGAAGTCCCGAGTGGCAGACAAGCAGATATTAAAAGAATAAAGGGGAATTTTCAGCCATAAAAAAATCTTCCAAAATACCAAAATTGTTTTTACATAAATATCAAACCATCTTTCCACATAAAATTCGANGAATTTTCAGCCATAAAAAAATCTTCCAAAATACCAAAATTGTTTTTACATAAATACCAATCCATCTTTCCACATAAAATTCGATTAAAAATTAAGTGGGTTAAAATTTATTTTTTTATATATTAAAATTCGAGTTGATTAAAATTTTTGTTGTTATATATTAAAATTTGAACTGATTAAATTTTATTTTTTTTCGTATTAAAATTTGATTATATGAAAATTCTTTTTTTGCGTATTAAAATTCGAGACGAGTTGAGCTCTACCAGAGATGTTACCGAGACTTAAAATTCACTTCGAATCGATTAAAATTTATATTTTTTACTTATTAAAATTAGATTCAAGTTGTTTAAAATTTATTTTTTACCTATTAANAATTTGATTATATGAAAATTCTTTTTTTGCGTATTAAAATTCGAGACGAGTTGAGCACTACCAGAGATATTACCGAGACTTAAAATTCACTTCGAATCGATTAAAATTTATATTTTTTTACTTATTAAAATTAGATTCAAGTTGTTTAAAATTTATTTTTTACCTATTAAAATTTGAGTCAATTAAAATTTATATTTTTGTCTATCAAACTTCTGGCTAATTGAGTTGATTAAAATTTAATTTGATCCGATTAAAAATATTTTTTAGTTGACTCGAATAGAATTTTATTCAACTCAAATTTTAATATATAAAAAAATATAATTTCTAAAAAATTCGAATTTTAATACATAAAAAAAAAATTTAATTAGCTCAAATGAAATTTTAATCGGTCTAAATTTTAATACTTAAAAAAATTTTAAAAACAAAAAAGGTCTTGTTGAATATATATTTATCTAGAAGGAATGTTTTGGAAACTGCATTATAGTTAACATCTTTAATTTGATAGAAACATCAGTAAAGATTCAAAAAATAGAAGGAATGTTTTTAAAATATAATAAACTAGAAAATGTATGATTAAAGCGATGGCATTTTGTACCCTTAAAAGATTTAAAAATGTTTAGTTTACANTTTTAAAAACAAAAAAGGTCTTGTTGAATATATATTTATCTAGAAGGAATGTTTTGAAAACTGCATTATAGTTAACATCTTTAATCTGATAGAAACATCAGTAAAGATTCAAAAAATAGAAGGAATATTTTTAAAATATAATAAACTAGAAAGTGTGTGATTAAAGCGATGGCATTTTGTACCCTTAAAAGATTTAAAAATGTTTAGTTTAGACCCTCAAATATTAATTTTCTTATATTGTACCTTTAATATCATAGAATGACGGCAACACGGTCCTTATACTAACCTTTGGTAGGGGCTCGTTGGGAAAAGTTTCACAAAACTTTAAAAAGTTGGTTTCGCCGTTTGGGAGAGAGAAAGAGAGATAGTGGAAAAGCTGAAAAGCTCCTATGAGTAAAGGGTTCACTGGGGATTCATCTTTAGACTTTAGAGAGAGAGAGGGACATAGATCTGTGAGTGAGGGAGTTTCTTANATAGTGGAAAAGCTGAAAAGCTCCTATGAGTAAAGGGTTCACTGGGGATTCATCTTGAGACTTTAGAGAGAGAGAGGGACATAGATCAATGGAGTTTTCCCCGTGAGATAGAGAAAAAAAATAGAGATTGGGGGGATTTCAGCATTAGAGAGAGATATCTGTGATTTTGGGGCTCACTTTCGCCAGAGAAAGAGAGGAATCAAAATTGCCCACCGGTCCTGTTATTCGGTTTAAAAAAAATAAGCTCAAAATTTGATAACTTAGATAGTTGGTTCGTCCGGGCCTAATATTTTTTAAAAAAGAGCTCGGGCCTACCCCAAACCCATTACCTGANGCATTAGAGAGAGATATCTGTGATTTTGGGGCTCACTTTCGCCAGAGAAAGAGAGGAATCAAAATTGCCCACCGGTCCTGTTATTCGGTTTAAAAAAAATAACCTCAAAATTTGATAACTTAGATAGTTGGTTCGTCCGGGCCTAATATTTTTTAAAAAAGAGCTCGGGCCTACCCCAAACCTATTACCTGAAAACCAACCCAAAAATCCTGTTCGCAAAAAGTCAGTTAAAATCCAACCAAAGAACTCACCTTGCCCAATGGGCCCGCTCGCCCAGCCCAGTCAAAACATGAATATGAGTCTTTTAATGTCCAAATTCAAAATTTTAGAAATTTAAATATTATAAATAATATATTTTTTTCTTTTTCATGCATTAAATATACATGCTTAAAAAGTAGAGTTTTGCAAATAATAAATAAGTGGGTATGTGTCAACCTAATTAGGATATACTCATTCTATTGTCATGTAGTTTCTCCCCTATTTATAAATAAAATTATTCATTATTTACTTTTTGTCTATTTTAATTTTATTTTTAATTCAAAAATATAATTTACAAAAATATTCATTATTTTTAAATGAAAGTGTATATAAAAGTCCGTCTAGTAGACCCGCCAGCAAGCCTTCCCAACAAGCCCAAAGGCCGTGCTAGTGAGTAGCAAATTGAGCTACAGGTAGCCTACCTCTACTCAAAGTCCAACCCTATCCGTTTGATAGATTGGGCTACAAGTACCTTATCTCTACTCAAAGTCCAACCNAGCCTTCCCAACAAGCCCAAAGGCCGTGCTAGTGAGTAGCAAATTGAGCTACAGGTGGCCTACCTCTACTCAAAGTCCAGCCTTATCCGTTTGATAGATTGGGCTACAAGTACCTTATCTCTGCTCAAAGTCCAATCTTTTCCGTTTGATAACTTACAAGCACTGGAACCTACCTTACCCAAGCCCAACTTGAAAAAAAATTCACGGGCCGAGCCTGGCCCAACTCAGCCCATGAACACCCCTGGATTGGACAAATTGTATACATAACAGTTTCACTAGTTGGAAGAATTGCAATAGGCACTTCCCAATCAGATTGTCAGATTTTGTAACCCAGGCAACCTAAAAAGTTCAATGTCACAACGCACACGGCGTCGTCCAACTCGAACCCAAACACCCCTCTACGACGTCGTCGTCTTCAACCTGTAGCAAACAAATCCAGAAGCCACTAATCACATAACCCCGTCTAACACGAAATTTACTGTATATTCAGAAATTTAGGGCTCAATTACACCACACAGGCAACAAAAATCATTTTCTTTTAAACTTACATTACCCACGTTCGAGATTCAAAGCCTTACAACAACTTGTCATTGAACACTGAATTCAACTTAAACTAAATAATCAAAGGAATTTTTCAATAAGCCTAAATCAGAAGTCAATATCAACAAAACAAGGGGAAAAAATCTGTGTGGCAGCAATACCATATATCATCTCTCAAAAAAACTGATTTTAGGGTTTCGATTTATGGGAATGATTGCTCAAAGAGTCTTCTGTTTCGAGCGAGGATTACAACGAGGAAGACGAGCGTCTTGGTTGAAGAAGAAGACGAATGAAAGCGGGCTGTATGGGTTCTAGTTGGACGACGTCGTGTGTGTTTGGCGGCTTCTAGATTTTTTTTGCCAAAAGGGCGCCATTGATTTCAACTGTAGAGAAGCTGTGTTGTTGTGACTTGGCAAGCTGTGGCAAATGGAGGAGCAGAGTGAGAGAGTTGGAAAAGAGGGAGACGGTGGTGACGACCGTGGGTGGTGGCTGAAAAATAAAAGGGGAGAAATCATATGAAATAGGAATAAAGCCCAACACAAATCGGAGGTTAAAGTAAGAATTTGATGTAAGACGTCGTTTAATAATAATTTTTTTTAACGATTATTAAACATTTTATAGAGAATTGTGATATAATTTTTTTCAATATTTTAGCACTTTTAGGATTGAACAAGATCAAATAATAAATTAAGTATAATTGTAAAATTAAGATCTTACAAATGAATAAATTAAATAAAATCTTAAAGAACAAGAGACACAAATAAAGAACCAAAGCAAGATAATAAGGGTGTGAGAGAGGGAAAAAGTTGGAGAGATGCGGTAAGAGTGGAGGAAAAAATAGTAAATAAAATTTGCGAGAGATTGCTACTTTTAAAATTAAAAATTGATAAATTTAAATTTTTTTAGAAAGTTTTGTTATACTTTAGGGCTTTATATAAGATTTTAAATGAACTTGTGAAAATATTGTTACATTTTAAGATTTTCTATAAAATTTTAGATAAACTTGTAAAATTTATTGATCCTTTAATTTAATCTATTCAAAAAGGTCTCAGAGTATAAAATTGAACTAAGGTCTAAAAATTAAACTGGGTCATTAGGGCTAAGGTCTGAAAATATTTAGGGCCTTTAGGGCTCTAAACGACTAGGGTCGGCCTTGATATGCCTCTTCTTATGCAAAGGATCGAAGTGTGTTTGTGCATTTCGTAACAATTATAATCTCAGCTCGTCTCTTATTGTCGAGTCTTCATCCATAAAATTGATTAAATAAGACAAATTAATTACTGGATGACACGCAGTGATTAAAAGTAATATGTGTTACTTCGCNCTTCATCCATAAAATTGATTAAATAAGACAAATTAATTACTGGATGACACGCAGTGGTTAAAAGTAATATATGTGTTACTTCACTTTTTTTTAATTTGTCAAAAATAATGTGTGAACAAGGTACTCGCATAGTTTAATGTTACAACATGGTATCACATAATTTTTTTTTTAATAATGTAGGCATTTAATATATATTAAACATTTACATATGTGTTATTTCACACCAATGCTATTTGCGTGCAACTATTCAATCCATAAAAATAATAAATGTACATAGATCATCATTGCTAAGTACATCTTTTTTAGCAAGCAAATTCACATATCTGTTTATCTCTTTCGTTTTTTGCTTGAATTGTACTTTTCAAAATTTAATATATTATTTTATTACTATTTTTATGTTCTTTTATTTGTTTTGTATGTTTATCATGAAAATTGTGATATTACATTATCGACTATCAGTATACATTCATAATTTCTTGTTATCTTGTTATTTATTATGTAGCATTCACCTACTATTATGTTGTGTTTTATTTTCTCTTATAACAACTTTATTGAAAGTTTTTTTTATATTAATTAATTTTTATTGTGAATACTTTATAAGAATAAACAATTTAAGTGGTTGGTGTTTTTGTGTTTAAATGAGAACAAAATCGAGTTTGAGAGAAATAAAAAATGTGTTTGATTTATTTTTATTTATGGAAAAGAGAGATGTTTATTATATTTTTTTATTGAAGTGTTAACTATTTTTCTATCCTCTAATAAATGTGTATATGTGAGGTGAATTGTACTTTTTGACATAAATCCTAAATTTTATTTTGTTGACTTAATCTCTCAAAAAAAATTTCTTAAGCTAAATTATAATGAGTTTTAATCTTTGATTTATACTTTCATTATTAAACTCTAAAAGTTGAGGCATTTTTTATGAGAGTTTTGGGTGTGGGTATAATTTTTTAGACTTATTTAAGGAAAAGTATATGGATGAGTTGTTTACTCTATTAAATTCAATTTTAATAAAACATATTGTGTTTAGGTATAAATTTCAAATGAAATTAAAACTTTTTTACCTAAATACGCACCTTTAAATTATGCATTATTGATTGAGAGTTATATATCTAATCAAATATTTAAAGATATCATTTGATTCTCTCACTATCTCCTCCCTATTTTCTCTCCATCTCTCTCTTTCTCTCCGTTACTTTCCCTATCTCTCCCCTATTTTCTCTCTCTCTCTATCATTTATAATTTATTTTCTTTTTTAAATATGTAAAGATTTGGTTTATTTTTTCATTTATCTCCCATATTCTCTCTCCTCCTATTTCTCTATTCGTTTTCTCTCTCTCTCTCTCTCTCTCTCTTTATATATATATATATATATATATCAACATTATAATAAAATAATCACACTAATCCGTTACAATTGTCTTATAATACACTAAACAGTTACTCATTTTTTCTAATAAACTAAACAGTTACACCAATCAATTGCACAAAATTATGACACTAACTCATCTAATAAATCAAACAGTTATACCAAACGATTACACAAAATTATGACACCAACTCAATTTATCATTTAGTAGTTTACATAAACTAAATAATTGCATTATTTAGTATCGTGACATCATTACATCAATTATATATACCAAATTTAGTATAATGGTAAAGTCTTTTTATGTAATAATAAACCCNTTAGTAGTTTACATAAACTAAATAATTGCATTATTTAGTATCGTGACATCATTACACCAATTATATATACCAAATTTAGTATAATGGTAAAGTCTTTTATGTAATAATAAACTCAATTTGGTGTATATAATTGGTGTAACTATTTGATTTATATAAATAACTAAATGACAAATTGAGTTGATGTTGTATTTTCGTATAATTATTTAGTTTAATTGTTTATTTTATTAGGACATATGAATAACTGTTTGATGTAGTATAAGGTAATTGTAATTAATATGTGTAATTGATTATTATAATTGTATTGTTGTAGCGTTTATATAAGGAGAGAGAGAATTAAGAAATAAAGGGAGATAGAGTGAGAGAAAGAGAGAACATAGGGGAGAGATGAAAAAATTAAATTAAATATTTATATATTTTAAAAAAATAAATTATCAATGTGAGAGAAATAGATAGAGATAAAACAGGNCGTATAATTATTTAGTTTAATTGTTTATTTTATTAGGACATATGAATAACTGTTTGGTGTAGTATAAGGTAATTAATAGGTATAATTGATTATTATAATTGTATTGTTGTAGCGTTTATATAAGGAGAGAGAGAATTAGGAAATAAGGGGAGATAGAGTGAGAGAAAGAGAGAACATAGGGGAGAGATGAAAAAATTAAATTAAATATTTATATATTTTTAAAAAATAAATTATCAATGTGAGAGAAATAGATAGAGATAAAACAGGAAAAATAAAGAGTACTGGAGAGAGAGTAATGGAGTAATAAATGACATTGTAGTCTTTTTTTCAAAAAAATGCACTTAGAGTCAAATAAGTTTTCCTAATATAGTTTAACTGAAATAAGTTTAAATTTTTGTACCGACTTCTAAATTACTTTTTTTTATGTGTGGAACCTAAAACCCATACTTTTTTGGCCTTGAACCAGTCATGAATAGGTAAGGAGAGAGAGCAGAAAAAATTTTATTTTTTTAAGAATAGATAGTCTAATTGTATACNTTTTTTTCAAAAAAATGCACTTAGAGTCAAATAAGTTTTCCTAATATAGTTTAACTCAAATAAGTTTAAATTTTTGTAACGACTTCTAAATTACTTTTTTTTATGTGTGGGACCTAAAACCCATACTTTTTTGGCCTTGAACCAGTCATGAATAGGTAAGGAGAGAGAGCAGATAAATTTTTATTTTTTTAAGAATAGATAGTCTAATTGTATGCTAATTATAATTTTTTAAGAAAAAAAATTAAATTTTAAATTTTAATTTTATTTCAATAAATGTCATAATATAACATAAATTTTAGTTGTAAAACTTAAAATATTTAATATTCTATCTTTGATTAAAATATTTTTGTTTTAAGTATAACATTTTAAACTTGAGAGATTTAAGTATTGCACACCTATAAACTTCATGAGATCTGAATATAATTTATTAACGAATATACTAACGGATATTACCGTTAGATATCTAAGTGTTACGCACAAATAAATCTCAAATCTCAGCNAAACTTAAAATATTTAATATTCTATCTTTGATTAAAATATTTTTGTTTTAAGTATAACATTTTAAACTTGAGAGGTTTAAGTATTGCACACCTATAAACTTCATGAGATCTGAATATAATTTATTAACGAATATACTAATGGATATTACCGTTAGATATCTAAGTGTTACGCACAAACAAATCTCAAATCTCAAATCTCAAATCTCAAATCTCAAATCTCAACNTTTAATATTCTATCTTTGATTAAAATATTTTTGTTTTAAGTATAACATTTTAAACTTGAGAGATTTAAGTATTGCACACCTATAAACTTCATGAGATCTGAATATAATTTATTAACGAATATACTAACGGATATTACCGTTAGATATCTAAGTGTTACGCACAAATAAATCTCAAATCTCAGCTAGTTTATATGTAATAGTTCAAATGTAAGAGTTTAAATGACAAACCTTATAAAGTCGGAGTATAATTCTCCCTGATGTTTATACATACCAAGAGTTTCCTAACTATGGATGTCATGATGTTACATTTGAGGAATACTTTCAAGCTATCATCTCAGCCATGTCTGCTACTGGTTCAAACGATTCTCTGGTCTGGTCTGGGCAAGTCTCTCAGCATGCAAATTTAGAAAAGAATCAAAACAACAGTCACACCAATGTCTTTGGTACTAATGGATACTAGACGAGTTATCTAGTGTCGGTGTCAATTCCATACCAAAAAGATTAGTCATAACAGTTTTCATCATCCAAATGCATGGCATTCTTGCAAAAGAGTATCCACACCTATCCACGATACCTCCGACATAAGAGTAAGATAATTTGGAGTGTAACTCAGGCAGGATGGATTCATTCGAATCCATAAAATCATGATCTAGAACCTTTCAATCCAAACACGTCATGTTTTTCAAGTTGAATTCTAAAAATATCTAACTAAAACTGCGACCAAGTCACCCGGAGATGTCGAAGTTGGCCCTTGTCGTAGTCATTTACCATATACCAACGGATTGCACTTGGAGGTATAAACAGCCAAGATAGCTATTCTTATCCTATGGTTAAAGATCAAGACAGATGAACTTTAAATACAGGTAGATAAGAACATAAATAGCAACAGTAATAGCCTCCCAGAAAGTGCAAGACCATATAGGTTGTACAAGGCCTGGAACAAATGTTACGAAGAAAAACGAAAGAAATACACAGAAACAAGGACCAGGAAGACCTGGAATGTACATCAGAATTAGAGTCTCAAGAACAATAAACAAAATAGGGTAACTGCCTTGATATGGACAAAATCGTGAAGGAAATAAAAAAGCAATTTTACACAGTTTTAAAATGAAAAATCGATCAACCAAGAGTGATTACTGCCGGTAGTCAATGATAGCCTCATTCCTCAAAGCAAAATCAAGAGAAAAATCAATAATGATAACAAAATATTGTTCCTGATCTAATCATCAGATGTAGAGACAACTCAAATGAATCAACAGCAACTAAAGTTCACCATCCCTCCCTCGATCTTGACCTGCCAAATAAAATTATCATGGGCAAAAATAGCCTCTCAAAACAATTTGGATAATATTGACATCCAACTGTGAAAAATACGTGTATCTTTAACAAAATCATAATGATTAGTAGCAATAGTACCAGACATAAGAGAGTAGATGATTACGTTTATGTAACTGTGGAAAATAGGTATTTCTCTAGCAATTTAATAATGACTAGAAGCAATAGTATCAGACAATAGACAAATACATTGCATACCTGTCCACATCTCTGTCGCCCAAAAATCTTCTATCCCTGCCACTTTGGAAAGCTCTTCTGTCATCACCCTGCCTCGTCCATGCATCTCTTGTGCCACGAGATTGAGGTCTCTCCATAAACTGAACTCCTCTAGACTCGTCAGATGCCCCAGACTGAGAAGGTGGCCTCTCAGGATAGCCACCAGCCCTCCCTGCTCCAGAACCTGGCCGTTCAATTTGTCTCTCAGTATAGCTGGCAACCCTCCCTGCTGCAGAACCTGGTCGGTCAATAGCTTTCTGACCAAATCGGACTTTGTTATTCAATTCAAGGATCAGAAGTTCCAAGTCCCTCTCTTTTTGAAGTATTAGTTCATGTAAACTAGTTTTTCCCTCACCAGACCCTTGCAGTGCCCCCTTGTCAAGGTTTGAAGCAGATTCTATCTCAAGTTCCTTTTTCAGGTGTTCTATATCTTCTCTCAAGTTCTTCTCCACCTCTGTTTTAGGCCTGAAACATATTTTCCCTTTTAATGACCAGAAAACGACAGATTCATAAATATATAGCAAACTCACATAGCATCTGCAAACCTATAGATAGTCATAGTTCGCAAACATGTCCTTAGAATCAGCCAATAGTAAAAGCTTATTCAGATGAGCCACCAAGCATGAAAACCATAAAGAAAGAGTGCACAATCTCTAGAGCTAGGAAAAGTTAATGGTCTGGAAAAGGGAAAATTTAAACAACACCATTTCTCAGAATTTGCTACAAGACAATGCAGACAGGCTCACGCTAGAAAGAGTAAGCAGTCTGAAAAATAAAAAAAAAATAAAACACACAGTGATAACAATTGCATTGCACAAATAGAATGCTTCAGCAGAAATAATGGCTTGAAAGACGTTGCACAAATAATAGTCAAAACAAGCATACATCCATATCGGAATGAACAACCACTAAAGAGGCACTTCAGTCTTTCCAAATGGCCAAGTACACTTCAACAATTTGACTGTGCAAATAGTGATTGACCATTAGAGCTAATAATAGAGAAAGAAGATGCTCTTATCAAAAAAGAAGATGCCAAAAAGAGTTTGCTTCACAGAGTTATTGTCAGCAGACACGGGGATAAATGAAATTCAATTAAAAGAGGTTCTAAAATGTGAGATTGGTTCTAACTTCTTTAACAATGAAGTAGAAGTTGGAATCAAAACCAGAAAAAACCCTTTGCTGATTCACTTTCAGCATCATCTTTAGGAGATTGGTGTTCAGCTTTTCATTTTAAAACTAAACACTCTCCAAGGAGATATGAGGAGGACTGCTGATCTGGTTCCTCATTGTTCCAGAAAAAGAACTGGAGCTCATGTAGAAACTAAGGTGTAGACGGGGCTATATGTACCTGCATATTTCTATATTTTGATGCTGAGCAAATCACTCCCATGTCTGATGAATTTCTCTGAATCTAATATGCTGTAGAACACCACATAATCATCCCTCACACATTTTGGTTTACTAATGAACCAAGGAAACAAGAGAAATAGAGAGACTAGGAAACAATCACTTTGCAGGGGGCAAAAGAACTATAATCTCAAAATTGGAGGTAATATAGACTGATTCAGAATGAAGCATAAGATAAATATAAAAAGGCAAACAAGAGCTTTATCCCTCCTTTTTTCTTTCTCTGCCATCATCTATCCTGCAAAGCTAAAATGATGAAATCATCAAACTTATGCACACTAGTTAAATTCAACTTGTGAGATTGGTCAATTTTTTTGAAGAGAAGAAAAATAAAAAAAACTGACAGGTGGGTGCACTGATGAGTGTGAGCAAATTGGAACGACATCTATAGAAAGTAGAAACTTTGCAAAAAAAAAAAAAACCACTGTTGTTCATGTTCAGATTCAAGCATAAAATGGATTCCAATGATGCTAGCTTCGCATTAGTCCACCAATGAAAGTGGCCAATGGCCTGATCTGTTAACAAACCAAGCCAGATCAAATTACGCCCAAAAACTCACACTAATAATATAAAGTTTCATCATTTTGAAGAATGCTAAAACAGCATTTCTTTGACAAAATTAAGCTAGTTACACAACCTACAACATTGGTTTGCATATACTAGAAATCATTCTATGGTGGAAATCAAGAGGATATATAAATCATTAACTAGAATGAACTGGAAAATAAATCTAAAACAGCATTTCTAAACAAGTATATGATGGTCGTTATATATCAATCAACATGGTTTTCTACTACATAACACCTTGTCATTGTCCCTTGAAAACCTGTTTTTAAGGACAAACTTACAGTCTCTATATATCTTCCATCTAAGTTTTCTCATAGCTATAAGTTTTGTAGGACCTTTTCATTCTTATACCAAGTGGTAAATAACTTGTCCTTCAAATTCCTATACTTTCATAACTATCTTTCATAGTCCAATCTCAAATTAGAAATAAAACAAAAATCTTTAAACAGTAATCAGCCCGTCTTAGGGACTATAGAAAGGCGTGATCATCAATAAGGTAAGTATTAAAGCATCTTCTATACGTGATAGCCATGAACATGTAGTTTATTAAGGGAAATAGGAAGAAAGCAGCACACACGTGTAAAACATCAAATATCCTCTACAACAGCATTAATAGATGAACATGATAGTTAAAATGGTAACCATAACAGCATATTTCAATGCACGATAAATTCACACATATACCGGATATAGAAATTAAACAATAAGTAGCTTGAGCTTCAACAAAACCATTTGCTACAAAATCCACATGCACCCAGATAGAATGCCAATAATACAACCTCACAAGTGATAAAAGGAAGTAACAAAAACAGATAAAACACAAACCTCTCAACACTTCGATGCTCTAACTCCAGATCAATCTTCCTCCAATCCAACCCTTTCTCTTCAAGCAAAACCTCCCTAGGTTTAGCATCCCCAAAAGGGTTCACCTTTGGCCTTGGTTTTACTGCCCCTTCCGTTCCATGTAATGCAGGACCCTCCGACTCTCTCGAGTGCGCACTCCCAGGCCTACTAGAATGTGAGCTCGTCGGCCTACTAGTCTTCTTAGCCTCAATCTCCGCATCCAATTTCTTCCAATCCAAACCCTTCTCCGTCAAAACCTCTTCCCTAGGCCTCGCCGCCCCAAATGGATTCGGCTTATTAGACTTCACCACTTGAACCACAGATTCTTCCCTTCTCGGAGGATCCAAAATCAATTTGCGCCGTCCTTGATCTCCATCCCCCATTCCTCCCCTTATCCACCGATCATTTTCAACCCTCGAATCGCGAAAACCCGAGCCGAAATTCGAAGATCTTTGCGGGATTGACTTTTTAGTAGCTGCCCAATTGTCAACCTCGTCAGCCCTAGAAAAGCCTCCTCCAAATCCACCACCATCGCCCCCGAGAGAACTATTCCGAGTGGGCCCTCTAGAATCCAATGAAGGTAAAGGTTTCTTACCCAGTGCCCAGTTATCGACCTCATCGGCCCGTGAGGGTTGATCAAAATCAGAAACCCTAGAAGGGGGACCCCTCCGGTCATCCTCAAATCCGCCATAAGATCTTCGATTATTGGCCCACGAATTATCACCATCCATGTCCCGATCACGATTTCGACTCGGTGGTGGCCCACTAGACCGGGCTCCATAACTCGAAAACCCTCCGCCGATACGGCCGTACTGCATTTCATCAGCAGACCGCTCTTTCGGACCCGTCGGAAGCCGAAGCATTTCAGAGGGAGTCAAGCCAACCTCCTGTCTCACCGAGCTGGATGATCCGTAGAATTCTTGTAAGCTCATCTTGGTTTTCTTCTTTTGTTTCGTGCCCGCGGCTTCTCTCAGGCTCGGAAAGCTCCGGGAGTCGCCAGCGCCAGCGCCGACGGAAGCCGTGGTTTGAGCAGCTGCGGCAGCCTCCGCTGCTTCTCTCTCTTCGGCTTCGGCTCGCTCTCCTTCGTCTGCCCATGCGCCGATTTTTCCCCAAGGATTCGACATTCTATGGTAGTTTTGAGATCTAAAAGTAAAATGCAAACAAGATTGCCAAAGCTTTATAGCGATATATAGAGATAGGTGCGTGTATATGTATAGGTGAGAGCTGAGGCTCCGTTAAGGGAGCCGGAGCTCCGACAACATATGCGGAGGAGTTAAGTGGTGTGTAGTGGATGGCGTTGTGGTGGCGAAAATGAGAAGCGAGAGAAATGAAATGACAAGGAGCCACGCTACGCTCTCGTTTGATTTTTTCGGTGAATTAGAGGGGGGTTGTTTTGAGGTGGAGCCCACAAAGTTCGGCTGACCTGTCACCATTTGATTGGTTGTGATGTGGTTTTGGAAAAATATCAAAGTAGAACGAATCATATGATAAAATTTAAAAATTTTAATTTTCTCATATTATATCCTAATATTATAAAATAATTATAATGTGACCCCCACTCATTTCTATTCCTCTTTCTGTCATATTCACGCTTATTGCGTGCATGAGGATTTAAAAAAAATAACAATAAAAATTAATGTAAGAATCACATTATAATAATTTTTAAAAATATAAATTAAATAGTTTCAAATTTTTTAGGTGCAACGAATATCATGGATTTGCTGCAATCACTATCTATGAACGTCTGTTTGGTTTTCATGGCTATGGAGGGCGAAGAAGATAACCTTAACCCTGTTTTTGTACTATTGCTTGGTTCATACCTTGGTTTTCCTTCAATTTCAAATATTTGTACCATTATCAGTGGACTGCATTACACATGGTAGTTTGTTCTTCAATTTCAACTCATTTATTGGGAGAATTTAAGAATTAATATGGAGAAATGTCAAGTATTTATTTATTTTAGTAAAGTCTTTTTTTTTTTTTCCGACAAAGTCTCAAGTTTGAATATAAGATTCAATCACTTAAATTAGGGTATGATTTTTGCCAATCACCTCATTGATATCTCACAATAAACAAAATCAATTGTACTAAGTACAATTTATGTTGGAAAAATTAAGGTTGCACTTACACACNAACCCTGTTTTTGTACTATTGCTTGGTTCATACCTTGGTTTTCCTTCAATTTCAAATATTTGTACCATTATCAGTGGACTGTACATTCATTCATGTATGTATGAAATTTTTTATACATGACTATCTCGCATGTTGTTAGATTGTAAAGGAGTCAAAAAAGGGGGGCAGAAATTAATGTGCAACTCACCAACATTGTCTCACCTACTTAGAGTAGTAATGTTTTTACCATTTTAACACCCACCACATGTTCCACTAAACCTCAAAGTTTGTCGTAGAAATACTACTGTATACGATCATTTTCCATGTTCTTTGACCCCCCTGTTGGCTGTCTTTCACGTTATCTTTTTTTATCCATATGCAGATATTGTAAGAACATTCTCTTGGGTCCATACATGAACTATGTCGTCCAGGGGAGACGCAAAGGCACTCCACATGCCTGAACAAAAAAAAAAAAATGACTCTTACTGCACATGTTGTCCTCAAGCTTAACGTGCCTATTAAGATTCTTTTCAATTCTCTTTTGGATTAATTGCAAGTTATACCCCGAAAAGATAGTTCAAATATCAATTTATACCTTTAAAAATTAAAAATTTTAATTTGCACCCTTAAAGATAGAAATTTGTATCAATGTGCACCCCCAAAGATAAAAAATCTCAATTTACACTCTCAAAAATAAATTTTTGTATCAATGTGCACCCCCAAAGATAAAAAATCTTAATGTACACCTTCAAAAATAGAAATTTGTATCAATGTACATCTAAAACTAAATTGATAAATTATACCTAAATCCCCTCATTCTTGTCACTTAATCATTTGGACCCCTTCACGTTTAGAACATTACTCTCACATCTTATGACGTTTGTGCACGTGTAATACATAACCCTTTTTCGTTGACGTATGTTAATATAACCGTTAAAAAATATGATTTTATTCTAATAAAAAATTATAATTTCATATAACCCTTTATTTTGTGAGTCCGATATACTCTAAAATTTAAAATCAAGTTTATCATTTGAATGTCTAATAGAATGTAGATATTTTTATAATATATTTTTATATCCAATGCAATATATCACTCAATGTGCAACTCTTTATTCTATTAGACATTCAAATTGTAAGCTTAATTTTGAATTTTAGAGTATATTAGACCCATAAAATAAAGGGTAATATGAAATTATAAATTTTTATTAAGATAAAATTATATTTTTTAACATTTATATTAACATATATCAACGAAAATGGATTACGTATTACACGTGCACAAATGTCATGAGATGTAGGAGTAATATTATAAATGTGAATAGGTTCAAATAATTAGATGACAAACATAAGGGATCTAGGTATAATTTATCAATTTTAGGTATACATTGATACAAATTTCTATTTTTAAGAGAACAAATTAAGATTTTTTATTTTTAGGAGTGCACATTGATACAAATTTCTATCTTTGAGGGTGCAAATTANGCTACGCTCTCGTTTGATTTTTTCGGTGAATTAGAGGGGGGTTGTTTTGAGGTGGAACCCACAAAGTTCGGCTGACCTGTCACCATTTGATTGGTTGTGATGTGGTTTTGGAAAAATATCAAAGTAGAACGAATCCTAATATTATAAAATTTAAAAATTTTAATTTTCTCATATTATATCCTAATATTATAAAATAATTATAATGTGACCCCCACCCTCTTTCTGTCATATTCACGCTTATTGCGTGCAGGAGGATTTAAAAAAAATAACAATAAAAATTAATGTAAGAATCACATTATAATAATTTTTAAAAATATAAATTAAATAGTTTCAAATTTTTTAGGTGCAACGAATATCATGGATTTGCTGCAATCACTATCTATGAACATCTGTTTGGTTTTCATGGCTATGGAGGGCGAAGAAGATAACCTTAACCCTGTTTTTGTACTATTGCTTGGTTCATACCTTGGTTTTCCTTCAATTTCAAATATTTGTACCATTATCAGTGGACTGTACATTCATTCATGTATGTATGAAATTTTTTATACATGACTATCTCGCATGTTGTTAGATTGTAAAGGAGTCAAAAAAGGGGGGCAGAAATTAATGTGCAACTCACCAACATTGTCTCACCTACTTAGAGTAGTAATGTTTTTACCATTTTAACACCCACCACATGTTCCACTAAACCTCAAAGTTTGTCGTAGAAATACTACTGTATACGATCATTTTCCATGTTCTTTGACCCCCCTGTTGGCTGTCTTTCACGTTATCTTTTTTTATCCATATGCAGATATTGTAAGAACATTCTCTTGGGTCCATACATGAACTATGTCGTCCAGGGGAGACGCAAAGGCACTCCACATGCCTGAACAAAAAAAAAAAAATGACTCTTACTGCACATGTTGTCCTCAAGCTTAACGTGCCTATTAAGATTCTTTTCAATTCTCTTTTGGATTAATTGCAAGTTATACCCCGAAAAGATAGTTCAAATATCAATTTATACCTTTAAAAATTAAAAATTTTAATTTGCACCCTTAAAGATAGAAATTTGTATCAATGTGCACCCCCAAAGATAAAAAATCTCAATTTACACTCTCAAAAATAAATTTTTGTATCAATGTGCACCCCCAAAGATAAAAAATCTTAATGTACACCTTCAAAAATAGAAATTTATATCAATGTACATCTAAAACTAAATTGATAAATTATACCTAAATCCCCTCATTCTTGTCACTTAATCATTTGGACCCCTTCACGTTTAGAACATTACTCTCACATCTTATGACGTTTGTGCACGTGTAATACATAACCCTTTTTCGTTGACGTATGTTAATATAACCGTTAAAAAATATGATTTTATTCTAATAAAAAATTATAATTTCATATAACCCTTTATTTTGTGAGTCCGATATACTCTAAAATTTAAAATCAAGTTTATCATTTGAATGTCTAATAGAATGTAGATATTTTTATAATATATTTTTATATCCAATGCAATATATCACTCAATGTGCAACTCTTTATTCTATTAGACATTCAAATTGTAAGCTTAATTTTGAATTTTAGAGTATATTAGACCCATAAAATAAAGGGTAATATGAAATTATAAATTTTTATTAAGATAAAATTATATTTTTTAACATTTATATTAACATATATCAACGAAAATGGATTACGTATTACACGTGCACAAATGTCATGAGATGTAGGAGTAATATTATAAATGTGAATAGGTTCAAATAATTAGATGACAAACATAAGGGATCTAGGTATAATTTATCAATTTTAGGTATACATTGATACAAATTTCTATTTTTAAGAGAACAAATTAAGATTTTTTATTTTTAGGAGTGCACATTGATACAAATTTCTATCTTTGAGGGTGCAAATTAAAATTTTTGACCCTTGGGGATGCACATTGATACAAATGTCTATCTTCGAGAGTATAAATTAAAATTTTTAATTTTTAAAAATATAAATTAAAATTTGAATAAACTTTTAGGGTATAATTTATAATTAATCCTTGTCGTTTTTTACGTATCATTTATAATTCATTCAAGCGAAAAAAACAGCCTATTACCTACAATTTCTGACCGCATGTCAATGTCCACCCTTTCTCAACTTTGTGGTACTATCTGTCTCCTTGCATAGCTGAGGACCATCTCAAACAAACCCATTTTATTGTAAATTCAATCATTATCTCACCGTTATGTTTTTCATCTCCCTTGCCAAACACAAAAAAGGAATGAAAAATTCCTCCATTAAAAGATAAAAAATATATCACTTTTACTTTTAATTTTTTTATTTTTTCATCCGCCTTACCAAACGGACTATTACTCTTATTTTGGAATTACTTTCGGTACAATTCCGAAAACTAACACTTTAATATTGTGAACTTCACCACATAATTTATGGGTTACAATCTACTGTTTGGTCCCCNGTTAGATTGTAAAGGAGTCAAAAAAGGGGGGCAGAAATTAATGTGCAACTCACCAACATTGTCTCACCTACTTAGAGTAGTAATGTTTTTACCATTTTAACACCCACCACAAGTTCCACCAAACCTCAAAGTTTGTCGTAGAAATACTACTGTATATGATCATTTTCCATGTTCTTTGACTCCCCTGTTGGCTGTCGTTCACGTTATCTTTTGTTTTTATCCATATGCAGATATTGTAAGAACATTCTCTTGGGTCCATACACGAACTATGTCGTCCAGGGGAGACGCAAAGGCACTCCACATGCCTGAAAAAAAAAAAAATGACTCTTACTGCACATTTTGTCCTCAAGCTTAACGTGCCTATTAAGATTCTTTTCAATTCTCTTTTGGATTAATTACAAGTTATACCCCGAAAGATAGTTCAAATATCAATATATACCTTTAAATATAAAAAATTTTAATTTGCACCCTTAAAGATAGAAATTTGTATCAATGTGCACCCCCAAAGATAAAAAATCTTAATTTGCACTCTCAAAAATAAATATTTGTATCAATGTGTACCCCCAAAGATAAAAAATCTTAATTTACACCTTCAAAAATAGAAATTTATATCAATGTACATCTAAAACTAAATTGATAAATTATACCTAAATTCCCTCATTCTTGTCACTTAATCATTTGGACCCCTTCACGTTTAGAACATTACTCTCACATCTTATGACGTTTGTGCACGTGTAATACATAACCCTTTTTCGTTGACGTATGTTAATATAACCGTTAAAAAATATGATTTTATTCTAATAAAAAATTATAATTTCATATCACCCTTTATTTTGTGAGTCCGATATACTCTAAAATTTAAAATCAAGCTTACCATTTGAATGTCTAATAGAATGTAGATATTTTTATAATATATTTTTATAACCAATGCAATATATCATTCAATGTGCAACTCTTTATTCTATTAGACATTCAAATTGTAAGCTTAATTTTGAATTTTAGAGTATATTAGGCCCATAAAATAAAGGGTAATATGAAATTATAATTTTTTATTAAGATAAAATTATATTTTTTAACATTTATATTAATATATATCAACGAAAATGGATTACGTATTACACGTGCACAAATGTCATGAGATGTAGGGGTAATATTATAAATGTGAATAGGTTCAAATAATTAGATGACAAACATAAGGGATCTAAGTATAATTTATCAATTTAGTTTTAGGTACACATTAATACAAATTTCTATTTTTAAGAGAACAAATTAAGATTTTTTATTTTTAAGAGTGCACATTGATACAAATTTTTATCTTTGAGGGTGCAAATTAANACATTGATACAAATTTCTATTTTTAAGAGAACAAATTAAGATTTTTTATTTTTAGGAGTGCACATTGATACAAATTTCTATCTTTGAGGGTGCAAATTAAAATTTTTGACCCTTGGGGATGCACATTGATACAAATGTCTATCTTCGAGAGTATAAATTAAAATTTTTAATTTTTAAAAATATAAATTAAAATTTGAATAAACTTTTAGGGTATAATTTATAATTAATCCTTGTCGTTTTTTACGTATCATTTATAATTCATTCAAGCGAAAAAAACAGCCTATTACCTACAATTTCTGACCGCATGTCAATGTCCACCCTTTCTCAACTTTGTGGTACTATCTGTCTCCTTGCATAGCTGAGGACCATCTCAAACAAACCTGTTGGTTTATTTTTATGGAGTCTAGTTTGTATATGTGATCCGGATGATGACCTCGACCCGAAATAATGTTGTGTGATTTTTAATGGAAAATTTTCTGAGGCTTAGTCCATGGTGCGTAGGACATATAAACCCTGTTGTTTTGGTGATTAGGGTTAATTGTGTATGGTACAGCCGCTCTCTGTATTCAACTCTCTCAATAGTGAAATCCCTGCAGCTTCGTGGACGTAGGCAAATTGCCGAATCACGTAAAATCTGTGTCTTGTTCTTTCTTGTTTCTTATTGCTTTATATTCTTGATTTGTTCTTCGATTGTGTGTGTTTGTTAGTGGATTCAAATCGTAAGAAATCCCAACAAAACCCATTTTATTGTAAATTCAATCATTATCTCACCGTTATGTTTTTCATCTCCCTGGCCAAACACAAAAAGGGAATGAAAACTTCCTCCATTAAAAGATAAAAAATGTATCACTTTTACTTTCTATTCTTCTATTTTTTCATCCTTCTTACCAAACAGACTATTACTCTTATTTTGGAATTACTTTCGGTACAATTCCGAAAACTACCACTTTAATATTGTGAACTTCACCACATAATTTATGGGTTACAATCTACTGTTTGGTCCCCTGTAAGGATGTAGAAATTTCATGCCAACACACCCTGGTTCGAGGGTGTACCATGCACCAAAGCACCTAAGCAAATTGAGCATACACCGCAAAGTTACACTCGGATGAATCCCATCTCCATAGCATGTTGCAACATTGACAACCAATATTCAACCCGTAAGCAATCCACCAAGTTGAATTGACTTGCACAACCCATCATTCCTATTGAAAGAAGCTGGAAAAACAACACTAAATAAGATACACTATTATCTTGATCGTCTTTGGTGTATATGCCACCAATCCACCATCGAGATAGGTCTGCACAATAGAAGCCAACAACAGCTGTTTGATTGATAGACGTTTTGCACAACGCATTTTGATAATAATTTACATAGTATAGCACCATTATTCAAAAAATGATAAATCAGTGATTTTCAGGATACAAAACTGTTAAATACCCCCAAAAGAAGAATAGATCACATCCAAGGCCTCTCCTGGGGGCAGCAAACCTCTCCTACAAGCCTATACCTGTCACGCATAAAACTTTCATTCCATCCTCGCTGGTGCTTTGGGCAATGTGGATTGCTTCAAACCTTCCAAGCTGTGTAATCTTTCAAGATGTTAAGCACAAAGCAATTGAAGGAAACTCACTTCCAAATAATTCCCAAAAAATCCATCTTCAAAATCAAAACTGTCACGGTCAGGCTCTGCACATGCAAGGTGTCAAAGGGTTTTCCCAAATATCATAGTTGGGGAAGGTTTCTTCAGGCAATCCAGCCCGTGACTGGTGGGTAACAACCACATCTTCCACAAAGGAGGCCCAGCCCATATAGGGGTCCCCTAGAGATTTGGACAATAGCCCCTTATCTGGTTTTATGGATTTTTGGCGGTGACCCATGTACCTACGAGCCCCAATTATCAGTTTTGCAAAGTTGCCTCCATGGGTCATGACAAACACATCAGACTTCAGACAGACCAAGAAATCGAGGGCTGCCAAGCTTGTGACATGCTTCCTGAAGCCATCCAACTCCTCCTTGCCTGCCAACTCCTCCTTTGTAACCTATTACAAACACTTAAATGTATAACATGCAAATCTAAATGAAATAGTAAGCTAGGAATCTAAGATACGATGGGAAACAAAAGAGTCAGCAGTAGTCAGTAGTCACTAATTTCAATGCTATTATTCCCACAGAGTCATGAACATAGTTGCCTTCCAGACAATTTGGAATATAGTATAAATATCTTTAGGTCATTCCATGTTGGTTCCCATACAGTTTGTGAGGGATAATGAGCCCATTCGTAATCAAGTCACTATAAGTGAAAACTACGTTGCTGCAACAAATAATAAGGGGCTCATCACATAACTATTGTAAAGAAGAATCTAGCAAACATTATTGGTTGAAATTCAAAAAGGACCCACTTCTACTCAAGTTTCACTGAAATTCACACACATAAAAACACAGGAACTATCAAGAGCGTTTTTAACAAAAATGAAGCTGCTGAAACCTTGGCTAAGAATCCATAGTTGATCTTCTTTGACTTAAAATTATCAGCAAGAACTTTATGGGAAAATTTTATGACACTCCCGTACATCCTTTTATAAAATCTAAAAACTTTTATATATGTAGTTTAACAAACTCATTAGATTGTTAACGCTGGGATTTTTTAGCAGCAATAGGTAAAAGATGGTTTTTTTATTTTTTTTATAAAGATATTAGAAACCTACTGCAACAACAAATTACACTAAGGTTGGCAAAAGTAAAGAAAAAACAAAATCGAGTCTATCTTACAAGGTTTGGGAACATGTTCCTGAGCGGTGCCATACGGTTCTGCCCACCATAAACCTGCCCAGAAGCAACATATATTTGAGTTTCCTTCGGATAGCCCATTGCCCGAAGCATCACTGCCACCTCCCCAGGCTCAAGAGGGCACCGTCCTTCCTTCCGCTTCTGCAGAGCCAGTCCCCATAGATGGGAACCATCCTGCCAATCAATACAAGAGTATGAAAACCATATTGTACATTTGTGCTTGCTTTGGATTCTAATTCCAGAAATATCAATTGAACTCCATGTCACCTTGAACCGTCGAGGCCATTCTTTCGATCTGTATGCAGACATTAGAGCTTTCTCCAGCCTTCTCCCCACAAAATCACAGAATGACAGGCCCACCATCCCTTTCTCAAACCTAAGGTGAAGAGCCCTGCTTATAAAAAAAAAATCTCAGTTAACTTTTTGGCAAGTAAAAGTAACAAAACACAGAATATGATTAAGTCCCCTTCACCAAATAACATTCCCAAGTCACTTACATGAAATGATTTGAGTTTCCTGTGCGGTTTCTCATTCTTGATACTAATTGATCAGCCATCCGATCAATCTCCGGAAGAAATTTTAAAGCATGATAGTTAACCCTGCACCTTAGTCTGTTGATTTCTGGAGGAACATTATCATACCTGAAACAAGAAAAGTTTAACAACGGAAATTTGAATCAAGTTTTCCAGCAATAAAATACAATTCAAGCCAAAGAAGATGAACGATCAGTAAAACATCCACAACTTACCCAAGTCGATCCACAAAGGGTTTTAAGGCCATTATCTTCTTCTCCTTGATCCGAGGCAAAACATTGTCAATATAAAATTGTGCTGGAGCATACTTTGGAATGTTCTTGACCGTCCGTCTACATGCAGTACATAAAACTTCCTATATAAAGATTTAAGGCATTTGCAACATACTAACAGTCACACAAGTCTGAAGCAAATTTGTAATTCAATTTTCCCTAATTGGAACCATTTTGAAGAGTGGAAAGGTGTATAACAAGGTGTCAACAATAAAGCAAAAACCTTCTCACAACTTCAGAAGTTTCACGCAAGACCACAATAATTTACAGGCATTTTCTGTTAACCATTTCAGATCACCATACCCCCTCTTGGCGCCTATGACAATGACCATGAGCGTCTGAGTGAAGTCCTTGCCTTTGATCATCCTACAAACTTTTTGCCTGATCATAAATAATATAGAGCACGGATTTTTTCTGGAAGCTAATCCCATCTACAAATGTCTCAAAATTTCAATATCATGGGAAACCTGGCACTCTATGTCTATGGCACGGAGATTCTATAAGAAAACAAATCTGGAAAAAGTTGTAATTGGTGAAAATGTCGAGAAAACTACCGACTTAGAATGTTGCAAAAACTTATCGACCATGCAACAAAAGTTCCTGTAGAAAAAATTCAACCGCTTCCCTCAATGAATGTCTACACTATCATACTTCCACAATTTTTGAAATCTTAATTAAGAGTTACAAGGAGTCCATCACGACCCATATCCTCAATTGGTACATATCACAATTAAACAACAGACGCCATCAAGTTGCCTCCTCTCGTCTTTCTACACTGCATGGGTTAGTGTTTGGACNGAGTCCATCACGACCCATATCCTCAATTGGTACATATCACAATTAAACAACAGACGTCATCAAGTTGCCTCCTCTCGTCTTTCTACACTGCATGGGTTAGTGTTTGGACTCGAGGTATCGATCATAGGCAGACCTGAAGAGAGAGGGAAAAATCATACCTAATACTTGTGAACAGCTCTGATTTGTCAGTAAACCATTCAGGGATATCACGAACTATTTGAACATCATCCTTCAAGTAATCAATGAAGTGATCTACATCGAATATGTCTTCAAATTTCCTGCAGACAATAACACAACCTTATAATGAAAGCTAGGATTGCAGTTCCTGACACAAGATTATAGCAAGCAACTGGTAGCACCAAGGAATTGTTAGTAATACTGTAGCAGATAAGAAATGTTAGCAAGAACATACCAATTTCTGCAAAATATTAAGAGCTCAGCCCCTAAATTGATGCATAGGTTCAAGTTCAACTCAACAACGGCTAATTATGACAGGTTAAAACCAATGCCTAATAGCGTACTGATAGCCACAATAGGCCCACCATCAGCAACACATTAAAACTCATTTCAAAGAGGTGATGGCAATGCACCTCATACAAGAGGGAGTCCGAACAGCCTTATTGGGCAGCATTAGGAGAAAAATTGTATAGGCAACAGTGATATCGTGTCTCAGACAAGGAACTAAAATACCAGACATCCCATCCTCAAAGAAAAAAACCCCACCCAAGTTAAAAAGAGGATGAAGAACCCCACAGAGGGAGAGAGAGAGAGAGATTAATGTTTTTTTCTATTTCAACAAACACCTTGTTTCATCACATATCCACATTTTAATACGAAGTACATAAAGTCAGAGACATTTTCATTCCCGTACCACTCGTTTACCTACGAATCCCTACAACAAACAAAACCAAAAGCTTTTTTCTCAAAACAAGTCCACACCCACTTCAATAAGTGAAATCACCTTTGGCGCACTCAATAATTCCAAACCCCCATCAATAAATGCATCATCTTTTGTGTGCCTAGAGCTTCAAAGAAGAGCAATTTCTCATAGTCTTCGGAAAAATTTCAAGTAACCGCTCTTGTGCTTCATTTATAGAAGGTGCAGCACAAAATACAGCGAAATTTAAACAAAATACTTTCTTCCCACATTGAAAGATGGGCGAGTTGTCCCAATAAGAACATTGCACCTGATTATAAGTGTAGTAATAGCATGTATAGCTTGCTTATAATATTGCTTGAATTCATAAATTTTAAGTTATAAACCAGAATATCATTTCTGTGAAGGTTTTAACCCTTGGTGTTTCTTATTGGCTATGCTGCTATGCTTTAAATTTTGACAGATGCGGTCTGCAGGATCGTTAGAAATTATAAATACGAATTGATAAACCTAGATGTTGCAGAAAAAATAGCCCCCTAACATCATCATCTGAATATCGGAAAATGCATATTCTCAAAGTTTTACAGGTTCCAAAAGCTCCCAAGTCAGCAATTCACACCTTCCAGCAAACCTCAGTTTTGCAGATAAAGGATGCGGTAGGATTAGCCAATATATCAGAAAAAATTTGAAGCACAAGAACCTCACGGTAAATAGTCACGATCAACAACATATACCATATATTATTCTCACTATAATCTCATTTCTCCAAATTTGAGGTGTACTTAGGAGCATCAATCTTTTGCGATGGCACATCTTTATTTCTATACTCAAAACAATAATTCTATTTTGTGCGGGGAGAAAAAATTCCAAGTTTTACCCTTAAAAAAATCAAATCTTCTTGCCTTGAATTCCCATGTTTGAGTTCTCATGAGAATGTCTGGAAATTATGACTATCGTCAGCAACAACTATATACTTCCTCAATTGTTTACCTATTGACTTGTGGCGGATAGTCATGTTAAAAACAAAACAGTGTATGAAGTGTAGAAGACGATAACTCACGTCTGGTCCTTCCAGATCTGGTCTTGCTTTAACACTGGCAAAATGAGGGTTGCATTCAATAGTTTAGCCACAGCAACAGCATTGCATATCTGCAGAAAGAACACAAGGAGTGACTAGTCATGAAGCTCATCTTTAATCAATCAGTACAGACTTGGGCAAGGTACTTCAAATAATCATTCTAGGCAATTAGTTAATATAAACTTCAGTACAACATTTTGCTCCTTGACCCATCCAAAAAATATAATTTATAGGACCCTGAATTAGACATTCATAGCAGAAGATGTGAATGACGGAGAAATCATTGAAACTCTTCTGCAGGTAACTTCCCTTTATTCTGTTGCAATGNAAAAATATAATTTATAGGACCCTGAATTAGACATTCATAGCAGAAGATGTGAATGATGGAGAAATCATTGAAACTCTTCTGCAGGTAACTTCCCTTTATTCTGTTGCAAGGACTAGAAGAGAAACAAAACAACAAAATATAATTATATAAGTTTCACAAGATTCAAATTCTACAAGGCCACAAAGAAATAAGCCAAAATGTGAATATACTTAGAAATTCAGAACTCGCAAGAGAGAGAGAGGGAGAGATAGAGAAACAAATCCTTGGTTAAGAAGAGTTAAGAGAACAAAAAACATACAGCAATCCTTTGTTGGTTTAGCCCACCCTCAGCGTGTATAAATATGTATCCATTTGTCTCATTCGCACGCGGAAGATCTGCAGGGGAAAAGAATTATTACTGGGTTGTAAAAGAAACAACAGAAATAGAAAAGGCACTTTGAGATGAAAAATGAAATCAAAGCCTTATTGTTTAAGAACAAGATGGGAAGATCCAATTTAATTGGAAGACAAATCCATTATAACACAGGTAGGTTACAAATACAGGTACAACAATATATGCAAGAAGCCAAGAACATATACATCCACAAAACAATGAGGAAATATACATCGGTTAAAGAATGAACAACAAAATTTCACAAAAGTACCCAATATATATAAGTTGATCTATGCACAAGTTCAATTAAATAAGGTTTTGCAATCAAAACTATGTTAACTCCATTCCTTGAAGCATAGTTGTTAAATCGCGATTCGTATTGTGAATCGGAATCCTAAATTTAAGAATCATGAATTGTATCGAATTGTAAGATTCGACACAAAATTTGAACAAAAATAAAAAATAGTACTACATATTTCAACTAGACAAAAAATTAAATATTGAATATTATTGCATTTTAAAAATAATCAATTGACATAAACACATCATCTAAATGGAAAGACGTTGGCCTTTTTCTTCATTTTCATCTTTTGTTTAACCATTTTCAAATTCAACAACTTGAAAAAAAATTCATTAAATAACCATGGCTATTTAAGAATCAAAATAGTGACACTCATTATAGGTTAGGTTACAAATATGAATGGAAAAAGAACAAATAAAAAAATTGATTGGGAGAAAACATACAGACCAACATGTTGAAACAAAAAATTAGAACCGAACAAACTACCCATGAAATAATTGAGAGCAAAAATCAATCGATAATGCTAGAGCGTTAATCGTGATCTTTAACTTTGGACAAAGTAAGGTAAGCTTTAGACGACGTCAGAGAGAGAACGAGAAAAAAGGTTGAGTTTTTATTAGGGCATAGGTTCATCTGTAAACAAAACGACGTTGTTTTACTGTTTAACGGACAAAACGACGTTGTTTTGCCAAAAATTTGGGTTTTAAAAAAAAGTGATTGAATCGTGCGATTCCACTCTAAAACGATTCTCATATAAGATACGAATCGTTTTATATCTGTATCAAACCAAATCGTATGAATCGAATCACAAATCATGCGATTTTNCCTTGGTTAAGAAGAGTTAAGAGAACAAAAAACATACAGCAATCCTTTGTTGGTTTAGCCCACCCTCAGCGTGTATAAATATGTATCCATTTGTCTCATTCGCACGCGGAAGATCTGCAGGGGAAAAGAATTATTACTGGGTTGTAAAAGAAACAACAGAAATAGAAAAGGCACTTTGAGATGAAAAATGAAATCAAAGCCTTATTGTTTAAGAACAAGATGGGAAGATCCAATTTAATTGGAAGACAAATCCATTATAACACAGGTAGGTTACAAATACAGGTACAACAATATATGCAAGAAGCCAAGAACATATACATCCACAAAACAATGAGGAAATATACATCGGTTAAAGAATGAACAACAAAATTTCACAAAAGTACCCAATATATATAAGTTGATCTATGCACAAGTTCAATTAAATAAGGTTTTGCAATCAAAACTATGTTAACTCCATTCCTTGAAGCATAGTTGTTAAATCGCGATTCGTATTGTGAATCGGAATCCTAAATTTAAGAATCATGAATTGTATCGAATTGTAAGATTCGACACAAAATTTGAACAAAAATAAAAAATAGTACTACATATTTCAACTAGACAAAAAATTAAATATTGAATATTATTGCATTTTAAAAATAATCAATTGACATAAACACATCATCTAAATGGAAAGACGTTGGCCTTTTTCTTCATTTTCATCTTTTGTTTAACCATTTTCAAATTCAACAACTTGAAAAAAAAAATCATTAAATAACCATGGCTATTTAAGAATCAAAATAGTGACACTCATTATAGGTTAGGTTACAAATATGAATGGAAAAAGAAGAAATAAAAAAATTGATTGGGAGAAAACATATAGACCAACATGTTGAAACAAAAAATTAGAACCGAACAAACTACCCATGAAATAATTGAGAGCAAAAATCAATCGATAATGCTAGAGCGTTAATCGTGATCTTTAACTTTGGACAAAGTAAGGTAAGCTTTAGACGACGTAAGAGAGAGAACGAGAAAAAAGGTTGAGTTTTTATTAGGGCATAGGTTCATCTGTAAACAAAACGATGTTGTTTTACTGTTTAACGGACAAAACGACGTTGTTTTGCCAACANAATTAACATTTAAAACACATTCTACCAATGGGCTATAATAAAAAACCTAATTTTCATGCATATTTGCATACTAGGAAGAAGATGATGATTATGTGCTTCATAAAATGGACTTCAAAGTTTAATTGATCGTAAGAAATCATCAAGGTACGTGACATCTTAACTTCTCTTGTTGTATGTCTCGCTGCCCTCCTGAAAAATAATTTAATTGTAATTAAGGGGTACCTGAAATTGCACCATTACGTCGCTCAGCACAAGGCTTCCATGAAGTGGTGGCTGAATAAGGATTCTCCCAAAGTGAAGGAGGCTCCTTAACCTGAGAAAAATATACACAACATGCAGATTAAAATATTGATACAAAGATAAGACTTAAGAAAAGTAAAAAAGGTAAACAATCAAAATAATCCTCCTGAAACTTACACGTGGACAGCGAAGAACAATGCTATCTTTTCTGCACAAGTACGGGGCATTCTACAATTAATTGGAAGAATATTAGGAATATTCATGATATTACTTACAACTTATATGAGGGTAAACTGGAATTATTTTTCCATAAGCTAGTGATCTCATATGGATCACAAATTAATAGCATGCATAACCTTCTTCCATTCATGCAAAATGAAATCTAAAAGCTGAAAAAGGTTCATTTATAAGGGAAACAATAAAAATGTGTCGATGCCAAATAGAAACCATTAGGCACCAAATAAATGAAGTTGATCAGCACTAAGGGACATCCAATAACCCATCTCATTCCGTCAAAATGCACCAAAGAACAAAACCAAAATAGTTATCAAATAACCTAGTATAAATAGTAATGTCCACTTAAGCCACAACTCTTAAAAACAATGCAAACAAGGAGAGCAAAGTCCACTTGATAGGACCAAGCAGCTAAGCAGGCTCAAAAAAGAGGAGTTTTGCCTTTTCAGGTTACTTTTTAACTAATTCTCCCTTACTTCTCACAATCTACATAGAAACCTAACCAAATATTACTATTTCGTGTTTCCTATAATTAAACAGGATCCATAACCCAACACAAGAACTGAAATTTAATCTTCGAACCCATTCTGTTTACTGACATCATTACAATTTCCGGATTTCACAACATAATTTCAAGTCTTAATGTCAAACATCACATTACACGCACACTAATTAATACATATATTCACATAAATAACGTAAAAAAATAGACCTACACGCAAGCAGAAGTTGCAATCTTCCCAGACGTCAATTCATCAGAAATCACCAGACAGCATTACAAGCACTGGTAGCTGATTAGAGCCATTAAGCGGTTAATTGTGGAGTAATTTGATTATGCCAAGTATTTATAGCTGATTAGAGCCTTTAAGTGGCCATTTGTGTAAAATTTTAAGTCAATATTCAATACATATAGAGAGCTCAAAAACTTAGAATGAATATCAATTGGAATCAACTAATATGTATGAATACGCATACACAGAAGCATTACAAACAAAATTTACCACATTGATGTGGTAGAAATCAAGCAGGGCTCACCCATCGATTCACGATTGAAGACACCAAAACTAATCCAGCAAGAATGACGATGAGGAACAAGAAAAGCGAGATCTTAAAATTACGAGAATGAACCCTAGTTTCATCACCCAAGAACGGCAATAACGACTGGAAATTTGACAAAAAAGAGCGGACTCGATCTCGGGAGTGACGATCGTCATCGTCGTCGTAGGGGAGGTTGTCGGGGGACAATGGTGAAGAGACGTCGTCTCGCTTCATCGGAGACGCCGTGGCTCGGCTGCTCATGGAGCTCGAGTGGCGGAGCTCCGCCATGGCTCGCTTTGGACTGTACGCCAGCTCAGCTTCGCTTTGCTTTGCTCGATACACTGTGCGTGGCTGGGTCTACTGCTACGCCGGTTCTTCACGGTCTATGCGACTTCAGATCTTCTTCTTGAATTTGGTTAAAAGAGCCAAAAACTGAATTTTTTTTTTGTTAAAATTAGAGTTTGTTTATAGACAAAATTTATAGACCAGCTATAATATTTACTTTTTTTTTATTATTTGTAGAAGGGCAATCTAGACATTCCATTATTTATCTTTTCTAATTTTTTTTTCCAAGTTACCACATTGGAATTTGGCAAGATATCCACCGTGGGCCGGGCCTATCGTGCCCGTCAATCAATTATTTAGATTCAAATGTTTAGGTTATCTCCGATATAAACTCAAATTCTTATTAAATTTGAGTAAAAAAAAAGATTAAAAATTTAATTTGATATAAACTTCTTTAATGAAGAAATTTAAATTTAAATGAGAACAAATTCAAATTTTAAAGAAAGTAAAATATAATTATTGAATTTTTAAATTATGGTAAAATCTTACTATTAAAAACTTGAGTATAGATTTTGGTCTCCATTGATTTGGGTTTAAAAAAAAAAATTCATTTAATATAGATATAAGTCTAGCATTGGAGAAGTGTTTTAAATCATTTTTACCCAAATTTAAATTTAGGTACAAAAAAGAGTAAATTCTGAAAATATTCTTATTGTGAAACAAAAGCAAACCACATGATTTTCCGATGCATTATAGGTTCTCTGTATTTTTTTCTCCCTCTCCCAACTCAGAAAGACAGCACCATCACTAGATCTGAACCTCCCTCCTACACGCCCCCACACCAAAAACCACCACCACCACACATAAATTCCCACCCTATCACACAAAAAATGACAGATACACCACTACCAAGAATAATCCTCCCACTCACATTTGAGATAACAACTCCTGACTGCACTTTAGATATAAATTGTAAAACAAAGAGTGAAGTTAGAAAAGGGTCGAATGTATATTCGACTTATCTCCATCAATACTTCTATCCGTTGATGCTCAAGGATGAGAGGATATGTATAATGTGTAATCCTAATTTAACATGCATACATGGGTTCTGCTTTACTGGGTGGTTTACACCAAGGCTTAGGTTGGGTGGTTTACACCAAGGCTTAGGCTTGAGAGTCTACAACTGTAACTCCTCCTTAAGGACTCTCACATCATCATATTTTTTGTTATCAAGTCGTGCATTTAGTACGCCCTGCCATGCATATTAATGCTTGATAATAGGGTGATGTAATCAAAATTTTAATACTTGAGAGACATAAAATTTGTTATTGTTTATTCCTTAATCATTAAGTCATCTTGAACATCTAGAAATACTTAATGTCGAGCATTCATGGTTCTATGCCGAGTATTTTTATGACCCTATGTTGAACATTCAATTCAATGTTTACATGGATTATCCATGTTAGCAAGAGTTATGTTTTTTTTAGATTTTTGTAGGGATTTAATGTTAGGGCCCCAAAAACGATGAAAGAAGTGCCTCCGTTGGTTGTTGGGTCTGACCAACCATTTGTTGAGCTTGGCCCGCTACTTGTTAGGCTTGATTGTTTACACCAACCATATGTACCGTTAAATTGACAACTTCAACCCGTAAACAGGTTATTTCTCTCATCAAGTACATTTGTGTTGGCCTTGAAAGTGTTAGTTGTTCAATCTTGATCTATAGCAGTTTGGAGAACATACTTGCTAACAATCTTATACCACGTGCCAACTCATGATTGACAAGTCGCCCGCGCACCGTCATATATCAAAAAGAGATGGTCTATGGAGTTCGGAAAGGGTTGGTGGCTTTGGTATCTCACGGGGNGAGCCTTTAAGTGGCCATTTGTGTAAAATTTTAAGTCAATATTCAATACATATAGAGAGCTCAAAAACTTAGAATGAATATCAATTGGAATCAACTAATATGTANGAGCCTTTAAGTGGCCATTTGTGTAAAATTTTAAGTCAATATTCAATACATATAGAAAGCTCAAAAACTTAGAATGAATATCAATAGGAAACAACTAATATGCANCTTTGGTATCTCACGGGGTGAATGGTTGTTCTAGATTGGGGTGGGGAAACAATTGTTTCGGGGATAGGAAAAGCAAGATGATTTTTGGACAAATAGAAAAAAAAATTATGTAAATCCTGCTAATCAACGAAATTGGATAATAATGTAGCTTGATAGAAATTTTATCAGTAATTTAACACACTCATATGAAAAGGGCCTTGAAAGAAAAAATTATCATAGCAATCTTGAAAAAGTTANGGTGAATGGTTGTTCTAGATTGGGGTGGGGAAACAATTGTTTCGGGGATAGGAAAAACAAGATGATTTTTGGACAAATAGAAAAAAAAATTATGTAAATCCTGCTAATCAACGAAATTGGATAATAATGTAGCTTGAAGGAAATTTTATCAGTAATTTAACACACTCATATGAAAGGGTCTTGAAAGAAAAAATTATCATAGCAATCTTGAAAAAAGTCACNATGAATACGCATACACAGAAGCATTACAAACAAAATTTACCACATTGATGTGGTAGAAATCAAGCAGGGCTCACCCATCGATTCACGATTGAAGACACCAAAACTAATCCAGCAAGAATGACGATGAGGAACAAGAAAAGCGAGATCTTAAAATTACGAGAATGAACCCTAGTTTCATCACCCAAGAACGGCAATAACGACTGGAAATTTGACAAAAAAGAGCGGACTCGATCTCGGGAGTGACGATCGTCATCGTCGTCGTAGGGGAGGTTGTCGGGGGACAATGGTGAAGAGACGTCGTCTCGCTTCATCGGAGACGCCGTGGCTCGGCTGCTCATGGAGCTCGAGTGGCGGAGCTCCGCCATGGCTCGCTTTGGACTGTACGCCAGCTCAGCTTCGCTTTGCTTTGCTCGATACACTGTGCGTGGCTGGGTCTACTGCTACGCCGGTTCTTCACGGTCTATGCGACTTCAGATCTTCTTCTTGAATTTGGTTAAAAGAGCCAAAAACTGAATTTTTTTTTTGTTAAAATTAGAGTTTGTTTATAGACAAAATTTATAGACCAGCTATAATATTTACTTTTTTTTTATTATTTGTAGAAGGGCAATCTAGACATTCCATTATTTATCTTTTCTAATTTTTTTTTCCAAGTTACCACATTGGAATTTGGCAAGATATCCACCGTGGGCCGGGCCTATCGTGCCCGTCAATCAATTATTTAGATTCAAATGTTTAGGTTATCTCCGATATAAACTCAAATTCTTATTAAATTTGAGTAAAAAAAAAGATTAAAAATTTAATTTGATATAAACTTCTTTAATGAAGAAATTTAAATTTAAATGAGAACAAATTCAAATTTTAAAGAAAGTAAAATATAATTATTGAATTTTTAAATTATGGTAAAATCTTACTATTAAAAACTTGAGTATAGATTTTGGTCTCCATTGATTTGGGTTTAAAAAAAAAAATTCATTTAATATAGATATAAGTCTAGCATTGGAGAAGTGTTTTAAATCATTTTTACCCAAATTTAAATTTAGGTACAAAAAAGAGTAAATTCTGAAAATATTCTTATTGTGAAACAAAAGCAAACCACATGATTTTCCGATGCATTATAGGTTCTCTGTATTTTTTTCTCCCTCTCCCAACTCAGAAAGACAGCACCATCACTAGATCTGAACCTCCCTCCTACACGCCCCCACACCAAAAACCACCACCACCACACATAAATTCCCACCCTATCACACAAAAAATGACAGATACACCACTACCAAGAATAATCCTCCCACTCACATTTGAGATAACAACTCCTGACTGCACTTTAGATATAAATTGTAAAACAAAGAGTGAAGTTAGAAAAGGGTCGAATGTATATTCGACTTATCTCCATCAATACTTCTATCCGTTGATGCTCAAGGATGAGAGGATATGTATAATGTGTAATCCTAATTTAACATGCATACATGGGTTCTGCTTTACTGGGTGGTTTACACCAAGGCTTAGGTTGGGTGGTTTACACCAAGGCTTAGGCTTGAGAGTCTACAACTGTAACTCCTCCTTAAGGACTCTCACATCATCATATTTTTTGTTATCAAGTCGTGCATTTAGTACGCCCTGCCATGCATATTAATGCTTGATAATAGGGTGATGTAATCAAAATTTTAATACTTGAGAGACATAAAATTTGTTATTGTTTATTCCTTAATCATTAAGTCATCTTGAACATCTAGAAATACTTAATGTCGAGCATTCATGGTTCTATGCCGAGTATTTTTATGACCCTATGTTGAACATTCAATTCAATGTTTACATGGATTATCCACGTTAGCAAGAGTTATGTTTTTTTTAGATTTTTGTAGGGATTTAATGTTAGGGTCCCAAAAACGATGAAAGAAGTGCCTCCGTTGGTAGTTGGGTCTGACCAACCATTTGTTGAGCTTGGCCCGCTACTTGTTAGGCTTGATTGTTTACACAAACCATATGTACCGTTAAATTGACAACTTCAACCCGTAAACAGGTTATTTCTCTCATCAAGTACATTTGTGTTGGCCTTGAAAGTGTTAGTTGTTCAATCTTGATCTATAACAGTTTGGAGAACATACTTGCTAACAATCTTATACCACGTGCCAACTCATGATTGACAAGTCGCCCGCGCACCGTCATATATCAAAAAGAGATGGTCTAGTGAGTTCGGAAAGGGTTGGTGGCTTTGGTATCTCACGGGGTGAATGGTTGTTCTAGATTGGGGTGGGGAAACAATTGTTTCGGGGATAGGAAAAGCAAGATGATTTTTGGACAAATAGAAAAAAAAATTATGTAAATCCTGCTAATCAACGAAATTGGATAATAATGTAGCTTGATAGAAATTTTATCAGTAATTTAACACACTCATATGAAAAGGGCCTTGAAAGAAAAAATTATCATAGCAATCTTGAAAAAGTTACGTTATGTTTGTTTGTTGGATTGGACACAAAATTTAAACAAGAGATATTATAATTATGAAATAGATGCATTTTTAAAAATTAATAAAACATACCATACAAATTGTCATTATATTTGACCTATGTATATTTGATGGCTTTACCGTTCTATTTTGATCCTAAATTAGGGTTGNCACGTTATGTTTGTTTGTTGGATTGGACACAAAATTTAAACAAGAGATATTATAATTATGAAATAGATGCATTTTTAAAAATTAATAAAACATACCAAACAAATTGTCATTATATTTGACCTATGTATATTTGATGGCTTTACCGTTCTATTTTGATCCTAAATTAGGGTCGNGCTTTGGACTGTACGCCAGCTCAGCTTCGCTTTGCTTTGCTCGATACACTGTGCGTGGCTGGGTCTACTGCTACGCCGGTTCTTCACGGTCTATGCGACTTCAGATCTTCTTCTTGAATTTGGTTAAAAGAGCCAAAAACTGAATTTTTTTTTTGTTAAAATTAGAGTTTGTTTATAGACAAAATTTATAGACCAGCTATAATATTTACTTTTTTTTTATTATTTGTAGAAGGGCAATCTAGACATTCCATTATTTATCTTTTCTAATTTTTTTTTCCAAGTTACCACATCGGAATTTGGCAAGATATCCACCGTGGGCCAGGCCTATCGTGCCCGTCAATCAATTATTTAGATTCAAATGTTTAGGTTATCTCCGATATAAATTCAAATTCTTATTAAATTTGAGTAAAAAAAAAGATTAAAAATTTAATTTGATATAAACTTCTTTAATGAAGAAATTTAAATTTAAATGAGAACAAATTCAAATTTTAAAGAAAGTAAAATATAATTATTAAATTTTTAAATTATGGTAAAATCTTACTATTAAAAACTTGAGTATAGATTTTGGTCTCCATTGATTTGGGTTTAAAAAAAAAAATTCATTTAATATAGATATAAGTCTAGCATTGGAGAAGTGTTTTAAATCATTTTTACCCAAATTTAAATTTAGGTACAAAAAAGAGTAAATTCTGAAAATATTCTTATTGTGAAACAAAAGCAAACCACATGATTTTCCGATGCATTATAGGTTCTCTGTATTTTTTTCTCCCTCTCCCAACTCAGAAAGACAGCACCATCACTAGATCTGAACCTCCCTCCTACACGCCCCCACACCAAAAACCACCACCACCACACATAAATTCCCACCCTATCACACAAAAAATGACAGATACACCACTACCAAGAATAATCCTCCCACTCACATTTGAGATAACAACTCCTGACTGCACTTTAGATATAAATTGTAAAACAAAGAGTGAAGTTAGAAAAGGGTCGAATGTATATTCGACTTATCTCCATCAATACTTCTATCCGTTGATGCTCAAGGATGAGAGGATATGTATAATGTGTAATCCTAATTTAACATGCATACATGGGTTCTGCTTTACTGGGTGGTTTACACCAAGGCTTAGGTTGGGTGGTTTACACCAAGGCTTAGGCTTGAGAGTCTACAACTGTAACTCCTCCTTAAGGACTCTCACATCATCATATTTTTTGTTATCAAGTCGTGCATTTAGTACGCCCTGCCATGCATATTAATGCTTGATAATAGGGTGATGTAATCAAAATTTTAATACTTGGGAGACATAAAATTTGTTATTGTTTGCCCCTTAATCATTAAGTCATCTTGAACATCTAGAAATACTTAATGTCGAGCATTCATGGTCCTATGCCGAGTATTTTTATGACCCTATGTTGAACATTCAATTCAATGTTTACATGGATTATCCACGTTAGCAAGAGTTATGTTTTTTTTAGATTTTTGTAGGGATTTAATGTTAGGGTCCCAAAAACGATGAAAGAAGTGCCTCCGTTGGTAGTTGGGTCTGACCAACCATTTGTTGAGCTTGGCCCGCTACTTGTTAGGCTTGATTGTTTACACAAACCATATGTACCGTTAAATTGACAACTTCAACCCGTAAACAGGTTATTTCTCTCATCAAGTACATTTGTGTTGGCCTTGAAAGTGTTAGTTGTTCAATCTTGATCTATAACAGTTTGGAGAACATACTTGCTAACAATCTTATACCACGTGCCAACTCATGATTGACAAGTCGCCCGCGCACCGTCATATATCAAAAAGAGATGGTCTAGTGAGTTCGGAAAGGGTTGGTGGCTTTGGTATCTCACGGGGTGAATGGTTGTTCTAGATTGGGGTGGGGAAACAATTGTTTCGGGGATAGGAAAAGCAAGATGATTTTTGGACAAATAGAAAAAAAAATTATGTAAATCCTGCTAATCAACGAAATTGGATAATAATGTAGCTTGATAGAAATTTTATCAGTAATTTAACACACTCATATGAAAAGGGCCTTGAAAGAAAAAATTATCATAGCAATCTTGAAAAAGTTACGTTATGTTTGTTTGTTGGATTGGACACAAAATTTAAACAAGAGATATTATAATTATGAAATAGATGCATTTTTAAAAATTAATAAAACATACCATACAAATTGTCATTATATTTGACCTATGTATATTTGATGGCTTTACCGTTCTATTTTGATCCTAAATTAGGGTTGAGAATTATGTCGGGTGTGGTGAATTTGTATCAAATTTTAACAAGTTTATATTAATAAAAATATTAAAATATTTATATTCAATTTATTTATTAATTTATATATAATAAATTGTTTAATATAAGTCGTATATAATTAATATATTATATAAATGAGTTATGTATATTGTGTGTCTCGGCAATGGGTCGTCTCTTATTTGTTTTGTAAGGATACTCTCCATGGAGGTTTATGTCCCGAGGGTTTTAACTAGACTGGCCCAAGACAGCACTTTGTTCCGTGAATCCGCAGTCTCTCTCTATCACACAGGGTGTGTCTAGTGTGTTGCATGGACGATGGAATCGGAAGGTGTTAGGGTTCGATTGGTATTCGAAGATCGGCACGTTCTGAGCAAGGCTCAGAGATTGGAGGGACTGAAGCGAAGCTGGCTTCTTCTCAAACCCCAACATCAGGCCATAGCTGACGTTTCCACTTATCTCATCCACATCTTCGACCTCTACCACTCTTGCCCTAATGGCATCCTCCTCTCTGTATTACACTTCATCCCATACCTTTCTTGATAATTGTCTTGCATTTGTCTTGAATTTCTTACTGATTTGGGTTACATTTCTACTCTTTGCGAATCCAGTTACTATGTTTATCTTATAGCGTGCGAATTAGGTGCTTATGTTTTTGAAAAGACCACAATAGTGAAGATTGATACCATTCTGTGGTTACTGTGTTAGTTCCTTTGTTGAATTTTTTGAATTATCTGCAGTTCTTAGTTAATTCTTCGTTTGCGAGAACTCAAAACTTGGCATTGTTTTGATTTTGGTGAATATGTCTAGTTAAATTTGGTTCTTGTGGTATATCTGTTGGTGGGTATTGGAGGGAGGTGTCACTAGTATTGCTGTTTTGCAGATGGATGGCTTTGTCTTGCCTCCTTTTGAGTCAACTAGCATTTTAAAAAATGAAGATGTCATCAGGTAAGTTTGAAACTGAATTTGCTTGTTACATTACATTCTTTTGTACCAGTTATTTACATAGTTTGAAAGGTAATGTATGTTTATTGTTACTTTACATATAATGTCAGTGTGAAGAAGAAAGGAATCCCATTGTTGGATATTGTCAAGGTAGGTGGTGCAGATAACGCAGTTGAGGCAGTAGAAATTGTGGAGAAGCAACCTGTACATACCGGAGTTCCGCTTTTAGCAAATGAAAAGTTTGAGAAGGAAACCAGAGGCTATCCAAGTGAAACCGAAGAGAATGAAGACGACCAGTTGGAGGATGCATTGAATGTGGGAACTTCCTCTGGTGGAAATGCAGCTTCCAAGAAAAGAAAAGCATCTGAAAAACTCAAAAGCCCAAAGTATGTCTTTTGTTACATCTCTTGCAGTCCCTATTCTTTTGATCTGTATGCCGCATGTCTGTTGTGTCCTTAATTAATCTTTATGTACTTTTCAAAGACGAACTGCTTAGGCCTTTGATCAGTAGTTAATTTATATATTATTTTTTTTGTGAGTTTCAGGAGGAAGAAACAATGCACAGTTGTCCCTGAAGATGTTGATACTAATGGTCACACAGAGCAGATCGAGAAAGATGGAGATCTCAGTAGGAAGAATCTTCGCAAGAAGGAGAAAGTATCTAATAATAAGAGTACACAAAAGATATCAGGTCCTTCAGAATGTTCTGAACGGAGTAATGACAATGTTGAGGCTACACCCAGCGTGAAGAGGTAGGTCTTAGTATCTTACAGCCTTTCTGTAATGCTTGATACTTCTTTTTTTTTTTTTTTGATTTTTTTGATTTATCTTTTCTCTCTGTGCTAGTGTTCAGCACGATTGTTTCTTAGGGGAGCAATACATCACTCAACCTCTGGTGATTTTATTTGAAGATTAATTTAACTTGTAGGTGTACTTAATTGTTTGTATATGCTCTTCTTTTGGTGTTTGCTTGAAATTGTTAGTTTCATCACACCATTTTATGGGGTTGGCTAGATTTGTGTGCCATATACCCTGTGCAATTTTTCATATTATTAGGCACCACTGTAGCACATTTGAAAACAAATAAAGACAATCCACTAAAAAAAAAAAAAACCGTTCCACCTAATTCTGTGTATCAGGTAAACCGATTCCATTTATCTATTATTTGAACATTGCAATGCTAGATTTTGGAGATAGTTTGAAGGTATGTATTTTGCTTTCCTGAAGTAATCACATCCCTGATCTTTGCTGTTGGGAGAAATTTCTTTGGTTTTTCTAATCTTGGCTTTGCAATTAGAAAATACATGTTTTTGTTGTTATATCACACAATCAGTGTTAATTTCCATAGACATGTTGGTATGTTTGCAAAGCATCATAGCTATTCTATTTCCATTTTTCTTGTTACACCTAGGTTGCTAATTGTTCTCATACATTTTTGTGCTTTAGAAATGAGCTTCAAGAGAGTGGTGAAGAGAGTGAGGATGTATCCCCTGTGCCTGAGGGAACTAAAAAGGTTTGCAATGCTATCTATGTTTTTCTTCTGATTTGAGATTTTCTTGTAGGTATATGTTTCTTGTACAAAGTGCAGTTTTCTTGGAAAGACTTGTTATTCTGTCACATGTTCCTAGGCGGCAGATGTGAGATTGAAAATCCTTTGTATGCAATACATTATTGTGAAGGAAGTCTGCAACAATACTTAAATTGTGTTTGAACTTTGACATCAAAATGACGGTAGTGTTGGATGTAGTGTAGTTTACATTATTGAAGTGTTTTGTGTTTATGTATTTTTATGTCTGTTAAGAATAGTAGGGTAGTATGTGTAACTTGTTAATAGTAAGAGGGTGTATGTGTAATTCTTATTATTGTAGGTTAACTATAAATACAAGTGATGTATGAGAGGTAGGTTAAGTTTTAACTACTCTCTGTTTTATTTCTAATATTGTGTTAATTCTCTAAACTTAACATGGTATCAGAGCCTAGTTTAATCCTAAATATATTTCGAAAATAAATTAACTCGATTTGTTTCGGTGGTACTGTTTATCGTCGAAGCTACAACAGTAGTGGTAGTGATACGGTTGTTGTAGCTCTGTGTACTGTTTGTCGTTGTTGGTGGTGGTGTGGTACTGTGTTCGTCGTTCACTGTGTGTGGTGGTGTTGTCGATGGTGGTCTGTTGTGGTGTTGTGGACTTTCACTGTGTTGTGGTTGTCGATGGTGGCCTGTTGTGGTGTTGTCGAAATTCGCCGTGTTGTCGAATTTCGTCGTTGTTCATTGTGTTGTGATTGATTGTCGTCGTTTGTGGTGTGGCTGTTGTGGTGGCTTGTTGTTCGTCGTTGGTGGTGAGGTGCAGTTGCAGGCATTAAGGTTTGCTAGGAGGTGCAGTTGCAGCAGAGGGTTCTCTAGAACCCTAACCAACGAAGAAGACAAAGCCCAAACCTGACCCACTTCGGGTCAACCCAGATCTGACCCAACCCTGGTTTGGTCTCGATTCAGCCCCCTGTGTGTGGTTCAAACCGGTTCAGACAGTTTTGACTCGGGTTNGTTGCAGCAGAGGGTTCTCTAGAACCCTAACCAACGAAGAAGACAAAGCCCAAACCCGACCCACTTCGGGTCAACCTAGATCTGACCCAACCCTGGTTTGGTCTCGATTCAGCCCCCTGTGTGTGGTTCAAACCGGTTCAGACAGTTTTGACTCAGGTTTAGTATTCCAACAAGTAAAATCGACCCGGTTCAGTGCTTCAGCGAGTCAAACCGTCCCAGTTCAGTGATCCAGCAAGCCAAACCGTCCCGGTTCAATGATCCAGCTAGCTTTTCTACCCCGGTTCAGTGATTCAGTAGCCTTTTCTTCTCCGGTTTAGCGGTCCAGTACCCTTTTCTGCTCCGATTCAGTGATTCAGTACCCTTTTCTTCTCCGGTTCAGAGGTCCAGTACCCTTTTCTGGTCCGGTTCAGTGGTCCAGTGGACTTAACTGATTCGGTTTAGCGTTCCAGTGAGATTTTCTAGTCCAATTTGGTGATTCAGCAACCTTTTCCTCTTCGGTTCAACAATGTAGTAGGTAATTCTTGTCCGGTTCAGTGATCTAGTGATTTCTCTTTTCTATTTGTTGCACTTATGGAACTCAAGCAAGACACGGGGTTGGTTACTATTACACGAGAGGAGTATGCTCAGTTTCTGTTCCAGCAACAGGTTGTCCTATCTCCATCCACTGCTACTTTTGTCCAGTCAGGTAATGCTTCCATTTGTTTATTGTCCTCCAATCGCAGTCCTTGAATCATAGACTCTGGCGCNAGCTAGCTTTTCTACCCCGGTTCAGTGATTCAGTAGCCTTTTCTTCTCCGGTTTAGCGGTCCAGTACCCTTTTCTGCTCCGATTCAGTGATTCAGTACCCTTTTCTTCTCCGGTTCAGAGGTCCAGTACCCTTTTCTGGTCCGGTTCAGTGGTCCAGTGGACTTAACTGATTCGGTTTAGCGTTCCAGTGAGATTTTCTAGTCCAATTTGGTGATTCAGCAACCTTTTCCTCTTCGGTTCAACAATGTAGTAGGTAATTCTTGTCCGGTTCAGTGATCTAGTGATTTCTCTTTTCTATTTGTTGCACTTATGGAACTCAAGCAAGACACGGGGTTGGTTACTATTACACGAGAGGAGTATGCTCAGTTTCTGTCCCAGCAACAGGTTGTCCTATCTCCATCCACTGCTATTTTTGTCCAGTCAAGTAATGCTTCCATTTGTTTATTGTCCTCCAATCGCAGTCCTTGGATCATAGACTCTGGCACTTCTGACCACATGACTGGTGTATCTAATATTTTTTTTACTTATTAGTCTGCTACTTCCACACGTAGTGTTACTCTTGCTAATGACACTTGTTCTCAAGTTTCAGGTTTGGGGACTACTAACTTGAGTCCTGATATGTTTCTATCTTCCGTATTATTTGTTCTTCAGTTTTCTTTTAGTTTACTCTCCATTAGCAATATTACCCGTTCTCTTAATTGTTCTGTAATTTTTTATCCCTTTTATTGTGTTTTTCAAGATCTCAAGACGGAGAGGAAGATTGGTACGGGGCATGAAGCTGATGGACTATATTACTTTGATTTTGATTCACCTACTTGGGCTTTACAGACCTCGTTGTCTCCTTTTTAGTGGCATTGTTGTCTTGGACATCCCTCTCTTCAGAATCTGAAACGTCAAATTTTCAGTCTTAGTTGTGTGTCGTTTTTGTCTTGTGAAGCTTCTCAACTTAGTAAACATCATCGTGTGTCATTTCAGTCAAGAGTCAATAATCGTGTGTCTAGTCCATTTGAGTTGGTACATTCTGATGTATGGGATCTAATAAAGAATATTTCATCTAATAAATATCCTTGTTTTGTGTCGTTTGTGGATGACTATTCTCGTGTGACTTGGTTATTTCTAATGAAAGTTCGGTCTGAATTATTCTCTATTTTTGAGACCTTTCGTAAGGAAATAAAAACTCAGTATGGTTGTCGTATCCGTATTTTACGTTATGACAATGTTCGGGAATATGAAGCTGATCATTTTTCAGCTTATTTTAGTAAAACTGACATTATTCATCAGACTTCTTATGCTTACACATCTCCACAGAACGGTGTTGCTGAACGCAAATACCGTCATTTGTTGGAAGTCACCTGTGCCTTGTTGTTCCAGATGAATATTCTCCAATATTTTTGGAGTGATGCTGCTCTTATTGCTTGTCTCCTTATTAATCGTATGTCATCCTCTGTGTTAAATGAGTAAAGTCCATATTATGTCATTTTTCTTGGTAAGCCCTTATTTTTCCTAGCTTTTAAGATTTTTAGATGTGTCTGTTATGTTCACAATTTAGGTCCTGGGTTTCATAAACTTGACCCTCGAGCTACTAAATGTGTATTTCTTGGTTATTCCCACACACAGAAGGGGTACCATTGCTATAGTCCTTCTCTGCGACGATACTTTACTAGTGCCGATGTCACGTTTGAGGAATTTATTCCATATTTTTCAGCACCTTCTCAGCCTTTGGATCTGGACTTTCGGTCATCTCTTGTACCACCATCTCTTCCCTCATCTTTAAATATTCTGCTGCCCACTATGTTACCCTCTACTTTACCTCTCCGTGTCTATTCTCGCCGTCCTCGCCCATCGACTCAGGTGCCCGTACCGTCTTCCTTGCCGCCTTTTGATTCTGGTACATCAGGTAATTTAGACTCTTTACTTATTGCTCTTCGTAAAGGTACTCGTTCGTGTGTTACTCATCATCTCATTTCTCATTTTGTTTCATATGATACCTTGTCTCCTGTCTTCTCCTGTTTTACTTCCTAATTATCTGCTATATCTATTCCTAAGTATTTACAGGATGTATTATCTGATTCGGGTTGGAGGAAAGTTATGGCGGAGGAGATGGATGCTTTACATCATAATGGGACTTGGGATTTCGTTCTTTTACCCCTGGTAAACGAACTGTTAGCTGTCGTTGGATGTATACTGTTAAATTTTGTCCAGATGGTTCTGTGGAGCGTCTCAAAGCCCAACTTGTTACAAAGGGCTTTACTCAGACTTATGATGTTAATTATGAGGAGACTTTTTTTCCTGTTGCCAAAATTTCCTCTGTTTGTATCTTGATTTCTTTGGCTGCTAATCTTGATTGACCCTTATTTCAGTTAGACATCAAGAATGTCTTCCTACATGGTGACTGGCTGAAGAGGTATACATGGAGCAGCCACCTGAGTTTACTGCTCAGGGGGAGTATGGTAAGAGTGTATGTCGGTTAAAAAAATCTTTGTATGGTTTGAAGTAGTCACCGAGGGCATGGTTTGGTAAGTTTTCGGATGCAGTTTTAGAGTTTGGTCTTCTTCGATGTTAGACAGATCATTCTGTGTTTCATAGATAGACAGATGCTGGATATATCCTATTGGTGGTCTATGTAGATGATATTGTGATTACTGAAAATGATTCTAAGGGGATTGCCAAATTAAAAATATTCTTACTGGATTGATTTCATACTAAGAATTTGGAAAAATTCAGGTATTTCTTGTGTATTGAGATGACTCGATCTAAACAAGATATTTGTTTATTCCAGAGGAAATATGTACTTGACATGCTTAAGGAAACAGGTTTGCTGGGTGGTAGATCGATTGATGTTCCTATGGATCCGAATCAGAAATTATTGATGGATGATGATGCATTGTTTGAGAATCCGAGTCAGTATCGCAGATTGGTTGGGAAGCTTAATTATCTCACTATTACTCGACCGAATATTTCTTATGCAGTTAGTATAGTAAGTCAGTTCATGAAATGTCCTAGAGTACCACATTGGGAGACAGTTACTCATATTCTGCGATATCTCAAACAAGCTCCTGGACTTGAACTGTTATATCGAGTTAATGGACATCTTAGAGTGGAAGGTTTCTCAGATGCTGATTGGGCTAGCTCTCCTTCTGATCGGAGATCAACCACTGGTTATTGTACTTTCTTAGGAGGTAATATTGTCTCGTGGAAAAGTAAGAAACAACCTGTGGTAGCAAGATCCAGTGCTGAGGCTGAATATAGGGCAATGACACATACGACGAGTGAGTTGACTTGACTACTACACTTCCTCAGGGAAATTGGGTTTTCAGTTCAACTTCCTTTATAGTTGTTCTTTGACAACCAGGTAGCTATCTATATCGCTGTCAATCCTGTGTTTCAAGAGAGAACCAAGTATATTGAGGTTGATTGTCACTTTATTCGGGACAAGATAGTAGCTTGAGAGATTACAACTCCATTTGTGAATTCTGAAGATCAGCTTGCAGATATGTTTTCCAAAGTATTGAGCCGTACATGTCTTACAGCTATTTGTTCCAAACTTGGATTATATGATATATATAGTCTAACTTGAGGGGGAGTGTTAAGAATAGTGGGGTAGTATATNGCTGAGGCTGAATATAGGGCAATGACACATACGACGAGTGAGTTGACTTGACTACTACACTTCCTCAGGGAAATTGGGTTTTCAGTTCAACTTCCTTTATAGTTGTTCTTTGACAACCAGGTAGCTATCTATATCGCTGTCAATCCTGTGTTTCAAGAGAGAACCAAGTATATTGAGGTTGATTGTCACTTTATTCGGGACAAGATAGTAGCTTGAGAGATTACAACTCCATTTGTGAATTCTGAAGATCAGCTTGCAGATATGTTTTCCAAAGTATTGAGCCGTACATGTCTTACGGCTATTTGTTCCAAACTTGGATTATATGATATATATAGTCTAACTTGAGGGGGAGTGTTAAGAATAGTGGGGTAGTATGTGTAAATTGTTAATAGTAAGAGGGTGTATATGTAATTCTTATTATAGTATAACTATAAATACAAGTGATGTATGAGAGCTAGGTTAAGTTTTAACCATTCTCTGTTTTCTTTCTAATATTGTGTTAATTCTCTAAACTTAACAATGTCCATATGCACTTGCACGTGCATGAGCGCGTTGTGGGTGAGAAGAAGTGTGGAAGTTAGGGGACAAGTGATTTTAGCCATTCAATAAATGTTTTCTTTTGAAACCATGATACACATGTTAGAGGATGTAGTATGAAGTCGTTAATTCCTGACAACATCATTCTAGAATACTCAGTAATTACTTGCCATAGACTTGTATGTTATTTGTATTTTGATTAGCATGGGAATGGGATGACTTCTGGATTTTTGACCAGTGTGGCTGTAGAACAATTTTCTAAAGGCTTGGAACAAAAACATGTGTATGGAAAACATTTATAAGTAAACCAAAAGCAGCACTCACTTGGATTCAGCCATCTAAACCAAATATGATCGATGTGGATAAGTGGACCAGTTGACAGTTACACTCCAACATTCAGCTGTGTTATTAATCAATTTTTCTTTCTTTGTATAATTTTTTATGAGCTCCTCTTGATGAATCATATTGCTGCTCCTTTACAGAGATTAACATATGAATTTAACCATTGGTTACCTAATCTTTTCTCAGGTCCCCAGTAGAAGTGCTCGGCGAAAGAAGGCTAAGAGACAATGGCTGAGGGAAATGGCTAAAATTGGAAAGAAAGAGGTGGTTTTCCATCCAAAGGGACTTGAAAAGAAAGAGGTAGGTTGCTATTCAAAGGGACTTATGTGTAATCATAAGAAAACAGATTTCCCTCTTCTCAACCCCTAACTGAACTTAATGACTACTTATATTCTTGGATTTGCAGCTACATTGGAAGCAGAAACGAGCAAAAGCTGACAAGAAAGAGGAAGTTTGCCAATCAAAAGGACTTGTGAGTAATCAAATATGCACAAAAATTTCCTCTTCTTTACCCCCACTAACTCAAATCTTAAGGACTTCTTATATTCTTTAATTTGCAGCTACATTGGAAGCAGAAACCAGCAAAAGCTGAAAAGAAAGATGAAGCTAGCCAATCAAAAGGACTTGTGAGTAATGAACTATGCCCTCTCTCTCTCTCTCTCTCTCTCTCTCTCTCTCTCTCTCTCTCCTCGTGAGAGGAAAAGGAGAAATAGTTTTCTTGACAAGTGGTTATCACGGATTTGCAGCTACACTGGAAGCAAGCACCTGAAAAAGATTTGCATAGCAATATGACACAGCATGAACGACCAATGCCAAAAAATGATGCAGAGGACAACATCGTTCCAATTGTAATAAGGCCAGGACACATTCGCTTTGAGCCTCTGGAAGATGGTGTGACTCTCTCTCTCTCTCTCTCATGCACACAGACATTAGACTTTTGTCTTATGTGACATTGTTGTTGCCAAAATATTTGCTGCCTTCGAAGCTTTCATTCTTATGATTTGTCATTCCAAGTTTGTAATTTGATATTCACAATTAACAACCTTGATCACTAAAGCCTTTATTTATTACTTGCATTTTATTCTATTGATTCTCCTTCTCTCTCACCCTATATATATACACATGTTGTTTCCATTTGGTTGGGGCCGTGTGTGTTTCTCTGTTTTGTTTGTGTTTTATTTATTTATTTATTTTTTGGGTGGGGGGGGGGG